AAAAAATAACTTTTCATGCAAAGCCCTGATGGATTCAGGTGCTGCTGGAAACTTCATCAATGTTCAATTTGTCAAGGGTAATACTATACCTATCAAAGAGAGAATATCACCCCTAGCTGTTGAAGCTATTGATGGGAGACCACTCTCAGAACCATTGATAACTCATGAAACCTTACCCATTAATATTTCCATTGGTGCCTTTCATAAGGAAGAGATTACATTTCAGGTGATTGCACCTCCTTCTTGTCCTATCATATGAGGATTCCCATGGCTTAGCAAGCATAACCCTCATATTGACTGGGCTGATGTGGAAATATTAGAATGGGGTAAGGATTGTAATGAAAGCTGCATATTGCATGTCACCAAAAGAGTGGGCACTATTTAATTACCCACTAGTACACAACAAAATCCCAAGATCCCTATACAATACCAAGACATTAAAGACGTATTCAGCAAGACTCAGTCTAATACTCTACCTCCTCACAGACCGTATGACTGTTCCATTAACTTACTACCAGTCTCTATGCCACCTAAGGGAGCAGTCTATGCTCTGTCTCATCAGGAGAGTAGTGTAATGGAGGAATATATTAAAGATTCATTGAATAAAGGCCATATACGAAAATCATCCTCGTCTGCTGGTGCAGGATTCTTTTTTGTATCTAAAAAGGATGGTGAGTTGCGCCCATGTATCGATTACAGGGCATTGAACAAAATCACCATTAAGAACGCCTACCCCATTCCTCTTATTGCTGAATTATTTGACAGATTCCAGGGCGCTAAAGTGTTTACTAAGCTTGACCTTAGAAGCGCTTACAATTTAGTGAGAATCAAGGGAAACCACAAGTGGAAGACTGCATTTAATACCAGAAGTGGACACTATGAAAATCTAGTGATGCCATTCGGTTTGTGCAATGCTCCAGCAGTTTTCCAAGATTTCATTAACGATGTACTCAGGGATTACATTTACTCGTTTGTCTTGGTCTATCTGGATGATATCCTTATTTATTCTCCTGACCTCCAGTCTCACCACGATCACGTTAAACAAGTTCTGAAAACCTTGTTAAAAAACCAACTTTATTGTAAATTGGAAAAATTTATCTTTGACCAGTCTGAAGTACAGTTTTTAGAATATAATATTTATGCCTCTGCGTTTCAGATAGATCCTAAAAAACTAGAGTCTGTTCTACAGTGGCCTTTACCCACTGGGTTGAAAGCCATTCAAAGGTTCATTGGTTTCGCCAATTATTACAGAAGATTTATAAAGGGATATTCTTCAGTAATAGCCCACATCACCAATATGACACGCAAGGGGGCTAGTAGTACGATATGGTCTAAGGAGGCTATTGAAGCCTTTGAAACTCTCAAACAGCGGTTTGCCTCCGCCGACATATTGATACATCCTGACACCAGTAAGCCTTACATACTGGAGGTTGATGCTTCAGAGACAGGGGTAGGGGCAGTTCTCTCCTAGAGGGAAAGCCAGGAAACTCTGTTACATCCTTCTGGTTACTTTTCTAGAAAGTTGTCTCCTCCTGAACACAATTACAATATTGGCAATAGAGAATTGTTGGCCATTATTCTAGCTCTCAAGGAGTGGCGACATCTTTTAGAGGGTTCCAAGGACCCTCTTTTGATCATTACTGATCACAAAAGCCTGGCTTACATAGGAGATGCTAAGCGATTATCTTCTAGACAAGCTAGGTGGTCTCTATTTCTTTCTCGCTTTAATTTTTATATCACCTACAGACCTGGTTCTAAAAATGTCAAGGCTGACGCCTTGTCCAGGCAGTTTGATACTGAGGCTATACTAGAGCAAGAAACGTCCCATATCATTCCCCCAGAATGTATAATTGCGTCCACTGTTCTTTCATTGTCCTCTCCACTGCTTGGCTCCATCATGGAGGCTCAGTCTCAGGCGCCCTGCGGTAAACCTCAGGACAAACTGTTCGTTCCATTGGGGGAAAGGGTTAATATCATGAAGGTGTTTCACGACGATGTGTCTGCTGGTCACCCAGGTATCAATAAATCCACTTCTGCTATCATGTGCTCATTCTGGTCGGATTCCCTCAGGAAGGATGTTAAGGAATATGTGCTGGCTTGTTCTGTTTGTGCGGTTTCCAAAGTGCCTCATAAACTCCCTTGTGGTCTGTTACAACCTCTTCCTATTCCTATGGTCCCACTTGTCCATGGACTTCATTGTTGAACTTCCTAGTTCTAACGGTTATACCACCATTCTCATAGTTGTGGACGTTTTTCTAAAATGGCTTATTTTATTCCTCTCAAGAAATTGCCGTCATCTCAAGACCTGGTACTAATCTTTATACGAGAAATTGTCCGTCTGTATGGCATTCCTCACAATATAGTATCTGACAGAGGTTCTCAGTTTGTGTCTCAGTTTTGGAGGACCTTCAATAAACAATTAGGGATTGAATTGTCTTTTTCATCCTCTTACCACCCCCAGACCAATGGTACAGCTGAGAGGGCTAACCAGTCCTTGGAATTATATTTGCGTTGTTTCATTAATAGCACTCAAGACAATTAGTCCGAATTACTACCATGGGCTGAGTTTGCTAGGAACAATGCTGATCATGACTCCTCTGGGCATAGTCCATTTTTTGTTAATAATGGTCGGCATCCTACTGTCCTACCGGCTGTTTTTTCTGATATGGCTATTCCTGGATTGGATGACTTCCATCCGTGATACCTGGGTTAAAGTTCAATCTGCTCTGGGTACTGCTGCTGACAGTTTCAAGCATTATGCTGATACAGGTCGAGGTGCCAACCCTGTTTACCAAGTGGGTGAGAGGGTTTGGTTATCTTCTCGTAACACCAGGCTCAAAGTCCCTAGCATGAAATTTGTTCCTAGGTTCCTTGGAAATTTTTTTCGTGTCCTTCGTAGGATCAATCCTGTGGCGTACTCTCTGGCCCTTCTGGTCTCCTTGAAAATTCCTAATATCTTTCATGTGTCTTTGCTCAAACCTCTTGTTTACAATAAATATACTGTCTCAAGTGTCCCTCCTCCACCCTTAGTTGTTTCTGGACAGGAAGAGTATGAGGTCTCCTCCATAATTGATTCCAGATTTTCTCGGGACACTTTACAGTACTTGGTGGATTGGAAAGGTTATTGACCAGCCGATCGTTCTTGCATTCCGGCATCTGATATACATGCTGGCCGCAAGATTCGCTATTTTCACACCAAATTTCCTCTCAAGCCTGGTCCTGCCCGACTGGTGCCGTTCTTCAGGTGGGGGGTAATGTCACGTATTCATCCGCTTATAAAAAATGTGATTAATGGAATGTACTGTTCAGACAGGAAAAGTTGTGTCGAACAACATTTTTGTCCTGACAGGAAAAGTTGTGCCGAGCTGCAATCCAATCCACAGAAGGGTTTGTGCTGAGCAGCAATTATGCAAATAGGAACCAGGTAACTGCCTTTGGGGTCAAAGGCCGATTACAACCTATCAGATCCATCCCTTGACCTCGGCTATTCCTGACTATTCTTTGGTACGTTAGTCCGGCCATTCTAAGGTCCGGTATACGTTACCTATCTGTCCTCTGTGTTACTCAATTCTACGTGCTGGATCATACTGTAATCCTGACACCGTCACACTAGGCATTTTCTCAAAGGGGTAAAGACGCTGATTTCTACCTTCTGCAAGAAGCATGGGGTTCCCACACTGAAGCCGTGGCAGACTAGGGTAGACAGGATTTATGAAATGGAGTCTTTATTGGCTGCACAGCATGATAGGTCAATGAAATGTGCCTGGCTTTGGATGTCCTTGCTGGACTATATGTCAAGGCCACATGATGTAATGGGAGATGGGCTTGGTGCTCATTAACACCTTATTCTTCTTATAATCTCCACCCCACCCTGTTCTGGACCCAGACTGCCACTGATGTTCTTGGTGCAGATAAAATTCTTTATAAAGTGCCAACAAATTCCGCAGTGCTGTACAATCAGTGGACTAACAGACACGCATTTGTAACCAGACGAGTTGGACACACAGGAACAGAGTGATTGAGGACCCTGCTCAATGAGCTTACATGCTAGAAGGAGTAGGGTATAGTGACACAAAAGCTAAGGGTAGGGTAGAAAAGTAGGTTGCTAGGATAGTATTCACTGAGGGCTTAGTATTTTGTTTTGATGACAGTTGCAGGAGAGGAACCAGGGTGCTGGGAGGGAAAGCTGTTGACAGTTTAATTGATATGCTTTCCTAAAGAAGTAGGTTTTCAAAGATTTTTTGTAGGAGTGGAGACTAGGTGGAAGTCTATAAAGCTTGAAGAAAAAATTCTATGGCAAGGGGCACCCCAGTGTACGTGCCTATGAAAGCATGTAAGTGTCCTCCTGTCCTAGAATTAGTACACTAATGAGACACCCCAGGGGTGTCTCGGGGCTTAACTCCTGGGGTTAAGAAGAAAAAAAATGAGGCAAGAACATCTCAACAAAGTAAAGATGGAGTCTTCCAGGATATAAAGGTAGTATCCTAAATAAATGAGGAATCAATGTAGTGATATTAGAAGTAACACCATCAGTGCGATAATGATGAAAAACAGGAATGCTGTAGCCATAGAGAAGTCTTTAAGACAAGCATCAGAGGTAGGAGTACGAACAGAGGTTAGATGCAGGTCTTCAGCAGAGTGTAGGGGACTAGACGGGACATATATAGCTTGGTTGCTTCACCTAAGTGTTGCTTCTAAGTGTGTAGTTGGAGATATTCTGGAGAGTGTTGCTTCTAAGTGTGTAGTTGGAGATATTCTGAAGATAAACTGGAGGTAATCTGAGGTATTCAGGAGGATAAAGAAAAAAGTTAAGATTAGTTTGAGTTAAATTATTTTCCTCATTGGAATGGCAGACTTAGTTCAGTGTAATAGTTGCTATGCATTTGTTTCACGTTCTACTTTTTGGAGATTTGGTTGTTGTCTAATCTGTAGACAGTTCTCTATCTTGCGGCAGGAGATTGTATTTTTGAAGTCTGGGATTTGTAAATCCACTCCAGCACTCTCAACGGTAGGTGGCTGAGTGGATTGAACTTCAATTTATTTATTTTTACATTGTGAGTGTGTTCGTGTCTGTTAGTGAGTATTAGTGTGTCTGTTAGTTTGTGATCTGTTAGTGAGTGTGTGTGTCTGTGAGTTTTAGTGTGTCTGTTAGTGAGTGTTAGTGTGTGTCTGTTAGTGAGTATGTGTGCATTAGTGTGTGCCTGTTAGTGTGTGATCTGTTAGTGAGTATTAGTGTGTCTGTTAGTGTGTAAGCTGTTAGTGAGTGTTGGTGTGTGTCTGTTAGTGAGAGTGTGTGTGTGTGTCCCTGAGGTTTAGTGTGTCTGTTAGTGAGTGTTAGTGTGTTTGTCAGTGAGTATGTATGTGTCTGTCGGTTAGTGTATATGTGTGTCTGTCGGTGAATGTGAGTGTGTGTGTAACTGTGAGTGAGTGTAACTGTGAATGAGTGTGTATGTCTGTGAATGTTTATGTTTTAGTGAAAGTGTGTTGGTTAAATAAGGTGTGTGACAATGACTGTGTATCTGTAAGTGAGTGTATGTCACTGCATGCATCAGTGAGGGCGTGTGTCTGTCAGGAAGAGAAATTTGGAGGGGGGGGGGGGGAGGCTAGGGCAGCACAAAACCAGAATTCACCACAGAGGCATTCAGGCATTCCTTCTATTAAACCTCCTGGGTACATGTGCAGTGCACTACGCAGGACTAAAACATTTTATCAAGCCCCGTGGCTGCTCCAGGACAGCCTGTCATATGATGTGAAAACATTAAAAAGTTCAACCCATTAGCTTTACTTAATTATTGAGCTGTTCAAAAACTAAAGAAGTGGCAGTTCCACTTTAATGGGTTAATAAGAATATGGGAAACGATATAAAACTGCCACTGAAGACTCTATAGGGAATACATAACATAAAATATGAACAGATTAAAGTAATTACATTCTTGCTAGATTTCCCCAACACCCTTATAAGTGTGTTAGTGTCAAGTAACCACAAGAGGTCGCCCTTACAAAAGATTATTTTTACCTTAAAGCATAGAATCTTTCTACAATATAAACTTCTACTTCAATATATTTCATCATGTCCACATTCTAACTCAAAGTACTGCAATACATCCTTAGGATGTGCATGGGAAACCTAGTGCAAATACAAGTATGTAATTGTCCCAATAAACACATTTGAAGATACTTGGAGTACATAGATCTTCTTTCTAATACTGATATTATCATTATATAGTCATAATTTTCGGCACCCTGTTTAATCGTCCTGGGATTTTTCTCTGCTGTTGCTAATCAGCAACAGCACAGGGTAATGTATCATCCTGGTAAGCATATACACAGAGTTGACACAATCCATGTGTGTCCTGTTTTGTCACAGGTGATACATATTTGTCACCGTCGATCACCTCTATAAGATGTCATCCCACCCCTTTTACAGACATTGCCTGACAGCTACCACTAACTTCAAGAAAACCATTTCAACAGCAAAAAACAATGCTATTTATTATCATATATTTATAAAGAAATCCTCTATAAGAGCTGCCACCTCCATTACAAGCACACATTTTTAATTCATTTTAGGTAACATCACTAAAGCTCCACCATTATCATATATCTTGAAACCGCAGTGTTTGATGAAAAAAAGACAGTATGTTGTGTCTAAGTACTCGCATTTGATGTTAATATAATAAGAATGCAAACATCTCATAAAAGTGTTATTTTATCTTATATGTTTTAATTCTGATAAATAATATTTGTGTAATCTGAATTAGTCACAAAACCAGTAATTATCAGAAATTGACAAGTAATTCCACATTGTAGGTCAAATATGGATGAACTGGAAAAAAAGTTGAGTTAAGAAATGTTTACACTGGGGGAGCGGAGCCTGACCATCAACCTGGAGAGACGCCATTCTTATGGGCTCCTCCACAAACCTCGCTAAATCCGGGGAAAATCACGCCACAACTGGACCATCCAGCCACAGAGAGTGGACACACCGATCCTCCAACCCCTCCTGACACGGTAGATGCCGTTCTTTGCGGCCGCCCATCAACCCAAGCGGAGAAAGAGAATCGGGGCCTACCCCACGCTGACACACACAGGCCTGGAGGCGATCCTGAGCGGCACGGTGGCAAGGCAAGTGTGGGACTGGGCGACCCCCAAGACGACCGATACACCGGCACACATGCCAGCTATGGGCCGCCGCTCCTAACGACCGCAACACACAGCAGACAGCAGGGATATCGGGGCCATGCTTCAGAGGCCTATGCAGGCCAAAACCGCCCCTGCCGAACCCCCGAGCCCCGCAGCCCACACTCACCACCCAGAAATGGCGGCCTCCAAGGGCACCCAGGTAGAGAGCCCAAAACAGGGGGATGATACAGCCGACACAGCCCCAATCACCAGACAGGATCTAAAAACCCTGCTGACAGATTTTCACACAATTCTAGCGACGGAACTTGCTCCCATCAAAAAAGACATCAAAGCAATCACCAGCAGGGTGCAGGCAACCGAAAAAGACATCACAAGCCTGCAGGAACATCTATCCGACCTACAAGAATCTGTGCAGCAGGTACACACACAACATAAAGCCTTAACTGCACAGCTCACTGCTCTGGAAGAAAAACAAAGACGCACTAATATAAAGATAAGGGGCATCCCTGCGGAAGTCACACCAAACGAACTGCCACACTACTCCAGGCGCCTCATAGCCACAATCTTGCCTCCAGTTGCAGCCAAAAAACTAGCCGCAGCAGATATTTATCGCTTGCCCTCTTCCGCCAGGGCACCGAAAAACACAGCCCGAGATGTGATACTCAGATGTCCAACAATACAAGACAAAATACAGCTCATGACGGCCCTTAAAGGGAAAACACCACTGGATTTTGAAGGAACTACACTGTACTTTTTCCAGGACCTAACAAAAGCCACCCTCACCTGGAGGAAAACCTTCTCTTCTCTCACCGGTGGCCTGAGGTCAGTGGGCATCGAATACAGATGGGGGCCCAACGGCTCCGTAATGGTGCACCGGAACGGAACTCACCACACACTCACCTCAATGGAAGGTGCACCCGAATTTTTGAAGGCACTGAGACTGGACATCCCGATCGCTGCTACCCCACATGGGAGGCCAACCACTGCTAGCTGGGACCCAGAACACATCACCCCCTTTGTTCCAAGGGCCGGGAGCTCCAAGACCACGGAACGGCAACAGCCTCTGGGAACCGGTTTGACGCTGGACACTTAGCCCCTCCAGGGGAAGCAGAACAAGGACACATTACAATCCTCGCAAACCCAACTAATATCAAAAGTTTATTGCCTGCCCTGTTGCATACTTATTGATTTTGCTTATATGTTGTCTATGAGGGAATGTCCACCATGTTTGAATTTGTAGATAGTTCGCAACTAATGGCACAAAGGGCCCTACACAACCCACCTCAAACCGACAGGGCACGGCAGCATTCCCACATATACACTCAAAGTCTATGGCGTGACCATGAAAATATCTCCCCCCCCCCCGCAGCTCCCCTGGTTAGGAGTTATTACACTCATGTTCCAGAGCACACTCTCCAAGCAGGAATCTGCACAGTGGTACACACACACCCAAACACGTTCGCATGCAGCGCTGCCAGAATCACCCCACTATAGCATGCAAACATAAGTGCGCAGAACCACTGCATTATAAAGCTATACAATATGACTTGCCAAACCTGCAGTAAGAGTAAACCCGTTTAACCCTTAACATGCTCTTGAATCGTATATGCCTGTTTTAACCTCACCAAGTTGACTATTCAATTTACCTAAAACCTCGCTTAACCTATAATATAAAAATGTGCTAGTACTAACCAATCCTGCTCTATTCAAACCATCAAGCGAGAACAGTTCTGTTGTATACAAATTTAGCATAGCATGTTTATTGCTAACCACGAATGTCTTATAGCCTGTTTTTAACCCTTAACATGCTCTTGAATCGTATATGCCTGTTTTAACCTCACCAAGTTGACTATTCAACTTACCTAAATCCTCGCTTAACCTATAATATAAAAATGTGCTAGTACTAACCAATCCTGCTCTATTCAAACCATTAAGCGAGAACAGTTCTGTTGTATACAAATTTAGCATAGCATGTTTATTGCTAACCACGAATGTCTTATAGCCTGTTTTTTTTCAAGAGGAAAAAAATGTGCCGTTTAACCTGCCACACTTTGGAATTCTATGAATCTGCTTGCAGCGGCTGTTGTGGCTCTGCACGCTTGTTGTTACTTCATGCACAAATAAAATAAAGAATTTAAAAAAAAAAGAAATGTTTACACTGGCATAAAAATGCAATTGCCTAATCCCTCTGAAATTCCTGATTTAGGTCTTAATTTAATATTTTTTGATAAACTTTGAAAATAATTTTTTTTCCAGATATATAACAATATATCATATATAAAAAAATTATCAAAATAATGACTGGGACATAGCAATACCCGGGTACTCTTTATATAGAAAAGGCAAGAAAGGGGGAGGGGTATAGAAGAGTTAGATAAACTACTAGTTGAGGATTTAGCTAAAATGACAATGAAGGGGGGAGTTATCATCATGGGTGAGTTTAATCTTACTGATGTGAACTGGAAAACCAAAATAGCTGCTTGTGTCAGGATCACACATATTCGAAACTCCTTACTGGGATTGTCTCTAAAACAAGTCGTTGAGGAGCCAACTTGTAAAGAGGCCATACTAGATTTAGTGTTAACAAATGGAGATTTGGTATCAGATATTACTGTAGGTGAAAGTTCAGTCAGTGTGGTTTAATATAAGAAAGTTTTAGACTTTAGAAAACAGACTTTTCTAAAATTAGAATATGTGTAAAGGAGTCATTTTCAGACTGGATCAAATTAAATGGAGTCCCACAGCACCACATGACGTGCAACCGGAGAACTTGTTGCATCGCACTCTGTGGTTTAAAGATACTCCAGGCCCTGATTCATACTATGAAGAAGTGTTTCACCTAGTGGAAATTCGCATCACACTAACAGATTTATTATGTGATTCCAGAGGCAACATGGTCTCGTTGGTCCACCTTCCAATGGAAGTATCACACCTTTATCACCACTGGGAAGTGGCTGTCCCACATGTTTCATTCACCAAGTCTCCTGACCTCTTGTGGGAAGATCTAGGCCCGATGGCCAAGTCCTGGAGTACAGCAACCCAAGAACAACTTGAACTAGCGGGGGTAACTAAAAAAGATTATTAACTGCACCACAGTCAGCTACCCTCGATACCATACAGAGATATGTGAGGACCTCCCTCCCATGGGGAAGGATCCAGAAGCCCCTCATGATTGTTTTGAACAGATGAAGATGGAAATCACCCACCTACCAACCGTGCATGAAACTGGCCTACCCAATCCAGACTGTACACAGTTTGTGGATGGCTCCAGATTTGCTGATGAACAAGGGCAATACCACACTGGGTACGCAGTCACTACAGAATGTCAAATACTACAAGCTGTCGCACTTCCACCGACAAAATCAGCCCAAGAGGCCGAGCTAACAGCCCTTACGGTGGCCTGTAAGCTGTCTGAAGGTACACGTGTCAATATTTATACGGATTCAAGATATGCCCTGGGGGTAGTGCATGATTTCGGTCTAATTTGGAAAACCGTGGGTTTCCTCCCAGCCACCAATACTCCGGTGAAACATGGGGCAGCTATTGAAGAACTGATGGATGCCCTGCTGCTACCTGAAGAGGTGGCCATACTGAAGATAAAAGCCCACGGAAGGTTGAATTCAGAAGAAGCCCAGGGAAATAACCTGGCTGATCAGGCCGCGAAGGAGGCAGCACGGCAAGGATGGAAAGTGGACAGGTGAGTGGCCACCGAGACTACCCCTATCTATACTATGCAAACCTTGCCAACAGACCTCAAACTCTTGAAAGAACAGCAAGCCGCAGCAACCCCTCAAGAAAAATCAAAGCTGGAAGGACAAAGGGGCAATCCTTCGAAATGATGTTTATACCATCAACCTCAAGTTTTGTTTACCCAGAAATATGTACCCAGCTGTTGTCCAGTGGGCTCACGGACCAGCCCACTTGTCCAAACATCTGATGAACTAATTGACAAATACTTTGAAGCACCTGGCATTACTACTCTGACACAGAACTATTGCAGATCCTGTACTATTTGTGCCAAATGTAACCCCGGAAAGATTATCAAAGCTGCTCCCAATCACCTGGCCAAACCACATTATCCATTTCAGAGAATACAGATCGATCATATCCAGATGCCGAAGAGCGGACGATATGAGTACGCACTAGTCATAGTGGATATGTTCTCAGGATGGCCAGAAGCCTTTCCAGTCGCTAACCTTACAGCAAAGACCACAGCAAAGCATCTTCTCACAGAAATTGTCTGCCGATATGGAGTTCCAGAAGTGATTGAAAGTGACCAAGGAACTTCCTTTACTGCTCTGTTAACAAGGGAAGTCTGGGCAGCACTGGGGGTGACCCTTGCCTTCCACACACCTTATCACCCACAGAGTAGCGGTAAGGTAGAACGTATGAATGGCACGTTGAAAGCCAGAATGCTTAAAATGTCCCAGGGGACCAATATGCCCTGGCTCGAGAGTCTTCCCCTAGCTCTTTTCAGCGTACGATATACCCCTAGGGGGAAGTTCAGTCTATCCCCATATGAGATTTTGTTCGGTACAGCACCAAGGCTAGGTTGTTATTTACCCCAACAGCAGTCAGCCAGATGCTATGGCAGACTATGTAACTGCTCTCTCTCATGCCTTGACCAAAATCCATGCCCAAGTGTTCTCTTCTATTCCAGATCCTGAGTCAAATACAGGTACACACAAGTTACTTCCCGGTGACTGGGTTATGGTCAAGAAATTCCTCAGGAAACACTCTTGAACCAAGATTTGATGGTCCTTATCAAGTACTACTGATTACGGCTACCTCAGTAAAGTTGGCCGGAAAGAGTTCCTGGATACACGCTTCACATTGCAAGAAAGTGCCTGCTCCAGAGGAAGCCGCCTTCGCTGAACCATGAGCTTCATCGGGGACATATATTGGCTGTGTGGAGATAAGCAATTAAGATCCCAATTAGCTGGTCTATGGTGGGGGGAGTGCACCTTAACCAAAGCCATAATGCCCATCCACATTATCTCAGATGATCACCAAAGTCCATTTGATCCTGCCCACACGCATTTTAGAACTAAAAGGGAAATCCCCATCCGTGGCAGCTTTGACCCACATGTTTATATTGATGCCATCGGGGTGCCAAGGGGGGTACCAAATGAATTTAATGCTAGAGATGAGGTAGCAGCCAGGTTTGAATCCCTGATCCCACTAATTACCGCTAATAAGAATGTCAATTGGATTAACTATATCTATTAAAACCAGCAGCGATTTGTTAATTATACTAAAGATGCCCTACCGGGCTTGGCAGAAGAGCTGCAAGCTACCTCCCAAATGACATTCCAGAATAGGATGGCACTGGATATGATTCTAGCAGAAAAGGGGGGCGTATGTAAAATACTCCCCGATACCATGACATGTTGTACCTTTATTCCAGATAATACTGGACCCAATGGTAAAGTAACCATGGCAATAGCAAAATTGGATGGTCTCTCTGATGAATTACAAAAGAACTCTGGGGTCACTAACACATGGGATAGATGGTTCGGATGGATGGATGGATGGCAGAAATCCCTGTTGCAGGTTGGGACAGCAGTCCTCACTATGATAGTTCTCTTCCTTTTCCTGACTTGTGTATTACCTTGCATACAGAGATACTTACAGAAGACAGTAGGACGAACCATAGATAATGTAACTCCTACATTCCTACACCAAGACATCAATGACATAGAATGTGACACACCACACACACCCCTCCAATCTCACCAATTCAAACAGACAACTGCATTCCTTTAGGGATAGTATAGGGATAGCATCTGTCTCTATGGGCAAGAGTCTCACGTGGGAGATGTAGTGGGTTACCCGCGGAGTGAAGTGTTCGAGGCCTGTTAAGACAGATGAGCTTCAGGCAAATTAGGGACATGTTAGGGACAGTAGTAGTTGTCTTTTAGTAAATAGCCATTTTAAGGTATATAGCCATGAGGTTTCAGAGGTTAAGGAAGTTTTTAGGGTTTTTTGCCAATGATATACGGCAGGTTGCTTCCACACTGTGCATAACACTCAGAACGACAGGCGGATGCGTATTAGGGACTTTAATTTGTGGCTTGGTGAATTGTGTCGGGAGCAAGGATTTGGCTTTATTTCTCATGGTAGCTCTGTTTTGAATGGAGATAAGCTGTACAAAAAAAGACGGTTTGCATCTTTCTCAAAAGGGAACAAATGTTCTCAGTGAGCAGTTCAGAGGTTTTGCTAGGATGTATTTAAACTAGGAGGGGGGGGGGGGCAAAAGGGTGATAAAACATCAATCCAATTGTCCCCCAAAACAAGGACAGGAGGTGCCTGTAGCAAGTGTGTTAAAAAACGATAAGCTTAGAGTCATGTCTACAAATGCTCGCAGTTTAGGGAAAAAGATCCATGAACTTGTGGCAATAATGGCAACTGATAGTGTAGATTTAGTCGCTGTTACTGAGACATGGTACAATGAGAAAAATGATTGGGACATAGCAATACCAGGGTACTCTTTATATAGGAAAGATAGGGAAGGCAAGAAAGGGGGAGGGGTGGCCTTGTATGTGAAGGATAGCATAAAATCTAGCCTAATAAAAGTTAGTGAGGCAAACAGAGTCCGTTTGGGCTACATTAGAATTTGGTAATCACACAGTAACTTGTGTAGGTGTGATTTATAGGCCCCCAGGACAAATTGAAGAGTTAGATAATCTACTAGTTGAGGAAATAGCTAAAATGACAATGAAGGGGGAAGTTATCATCATGGGTGACTTTAATCTTCCTGATGTAAATTGGAAAACAAAATTAGCTACTTGTGCCAGGAGCACACATATTCTAAACTCCCTACTGGGATTGTCTCTAAAACAAGTTGTTGAGGAGCCAACTCGTAAAGAGGCCATACTAGATTTAGTGTTAACAAATGGAGATTTGGTATCAGATATCACTGTAGGTGAAAGTTTAGGATCCAGTGATCAGTCAGTGTGGTTTAATATAAGAACAGTGACTGAGTCACACCACACAAAAACAAAAGTTTTAGACTTTAGAAAAACAGACTTTTCTAAAATTAGAATATGGGTAGAGGAGTCATTATCAGACTGGAGCAATTTAAATGGTGTCCAAGAGAAATGGGATTATTTCAAAGTTGCACTGCTGAAGGCAACAGAAAATTGCATTAGGCTTGTCAGTAAAAGCAAAAAAATTCAAGAAACCACTGTGGTACTCCACAGATGTGGCCAAAATAGTAAAAAACAAAAATGTTAGCATTTAGTAAATATAAAAAAAAAAACCTAGAGTGAAGAAGACAGAATGATCTATAAGATTAAGCAGAAAGAGGCAAAGCAAGTAATAAGAGCTTCCAAATCACACACAGAAGAGAAAATAGTCAGTAAAAAAAAAAAGGAGACAAAACATTTTTTAGATACATAAATGAGAAAAGGAAAGTAAAACAAGGATTAGTTAGATTAAAAACAAAAGAAGAAATGTATGAAGAAGAGGATAAAGGTCTAGTTGACTGCCTCAATGAATATTTTTGTTCAGTATTTACAGATGAAAATAAAGGAAAGGGGCCTCAGTTAGGAAAAAGGACAAATGAGCCATTTGTTACATGTGAGTTTAGAGAGGAAGAGGCTCTGTTTCAACTGTCAAAAGTAAAGACAAATAAGTAAATAGGACCTGATGGAATACACCCAAAGTTATTAAAAGAGCTTAGTGGTGTACTAGCAAAACCATTAACAGATTTATTTAACCAATCATTGCTAACAGGAGTACTCCCATAAGACTGGAAGTTAGCGAATGTTGTGCCCTTACAGAAGAAAGTAGGTAGGAGTCGAGCAACTAAAGGGCAATAAGCTTTACTTTAGTAGTGGGGAAAGTAATGGAAACCATGTTAAAGGATTTCGGAAGTGCTGAAGTGCTTCGGATTTCTGAAAAGTGGCAAACCAAGAGAAGGAGGGAAAATTATGTGGATGATGAGATGACAGGAATCTATACCAATAAGCTAATTCCTGGCACTGGGAGCCCTATATATGTGTAAGTGGTTGTGGTGGCAGTCCCGGCACCTAACTCTACCCCTATCCTAATCCTACCCCTAACCCTACCCTATCCCTAAGGGTAGGCTTAGAGGTAGCAGTAGGGAACCCTACATATATGTAAGTGGATGTGGTGGCAAGAGAGGGATGCTTACGAATGTCCGAATTGCTGAAGTACTGAATTGCTGAAGTCCAGAATTGCCGAAGTCCCGAATTTTGGAAGTGCCGAGCTGAAGTCGAGAATTTCGTAAGTGCTGAACCGAAGTGCCAAATTTCTGAAGTCCTGAATTTCGGAAGTACCAAACCGAACCAAATTTTTTGCCCATGCACATCCCTACCAATAAACTATTGTTGTACCTCCAGAACTGTGTGTTGTCCAGTTACTGGAGGGGAAATGGGTCTCTTTATATCCTAAATGGTTCCTGTTCAGCTGAAGGAAGAAAAATAGCAGAGGTAACTGGTTGGGTTACCAGGTGTTCCGCTACACAGGGTTATAATAATAGTTTACATCATGTAGTTACTAATATATATAAATAAATTTTAAAAAGGGAAAGTACAAGTTTGTCAGATATGTTTTGTATAATTACCAGAATTTACTAATTACATAAAGTCATTATTTTTTTAAGGACACGGAGGCGAGTATTAGTCATATTTATCTCTTTCTTTATTCCTCAGCAGCAAATAAAGAATATTAAGATATTAATAGAAAAACAAATACCCTTAAAGGGTTAACCATATAACATATTCAACCAATGGGAGCAGTCCACATTCCATATACTTCCATGTGTCCCTAAGCCACTCCTCTTTCTTGATGATGCCGAAGCCGAAAATTCAATGATAAACAACCGACATAAAACAACTGACTCGATATGACCTAGAGTCCAACATCTGAAATATGCGTAGACATAATCCGATGGTAGTGGATCCTAGAGAGCACCTCCATTGCAATTATGGGAAGAAACCAGTCCTGATTAACCGATTGTAAAGGTTCAAGCTGTAAGAGACAGAAAAACAGGTGGAAAAATATGTTCAAAGACTGATGTTGTACATTTGTATCCATGACAATTAAAACATATAAAAGTATTCGGTAACCCAAACAAAAGTCAAGTCAAAACCAAGCATTATGTTGAAAAATTGGGTGGGAAGAAAAAACGTAAGACTAACCTGTTTTCAGGGTGGGCTAATACTCACCTCCATGTCCTTAATAAAATCATGACTTTACGTCATGTAATTAGTCAAATCTGGTAATTATATTAAAGGACACGGAGGCTCATATAAGGCTAGTTTAAAGCTGTGAAATAACCATAGAAGAGATGTGTTCTGCTGGACGAAAATAGTAATCTTTGAATCTCGATTCTCGAGACCAATCAGTTGTGCAGAGAGGTCCTCAAGTTTACAACCCAATGTGAATGCTTTTGAACCCATAGTGCCTCTAGTAGAATGAACTTTATAAACTGATGTGTCAATGTTAGCAGACAAAGTTATCCATTTCACCCAGCGATGGCATGGCCAATTTTGCAGACACTTGTTTGAGCGTAAGGTCTGGGTTCGTAGGCCAATCCTCCAACAGATGAAGAACTAGGTTGACGTCCCACAGAGCCATGTATTGGGGTTGGGGTGGCCGTGCAAATTTAATGCCTTCTGGGAAACCATCCATTCCGTTGTGACCAGCTGAGATCGCGATCTATATACGTTGATCATACAGGGCGGTAAGGAAATTTAAGATGTGGTTTAGAGAGGCACGTATGGGATCCACGTGTTCCATTCACCAACCACTCCATGTGTTCCAGGCATGAGTGTAGGATCTTCTTGTTCCTGAAGCCCAAAACCAGGTTATATTTAAATTATGTTATACATGGTAATTTTTATAAGAAAAAAAATATTCTACTATTTACAGTTCATATTTGTACATCTTTACAAATAAATATAGTAAAAAAAAAAAAGAAACAGTCACGCACTGTGGAATTTAATATGATTTATTAGAAATCCTCTATCTTGCGTTCAGTCCACCTTTCTCTTTGGAAATTCTGTGACTTCTCTCATGGGCCTTTTCTTGGCAACACGTGATCCTCTAATTGATCCAATAATCTATACCGGCATTCCCAACATTTGGATATCATTTTGTACCCTTAACATTTTTCTATGAATTTGCAATATTTTATCTGTAACGTCTCTATAACATTACTTAATCCTTATGTTCCTTCAAATCCTCAGCATGCCTAATAGATGACCACATAATATTATATTTCATCCCATTATGTCATAAACTGCTTTGCTCCCCCAACAAACAGTCATCATTTGTGGCTCCCTCTGCAATAAAGCTTGCTCCACCCTCCACTCAATTTACCCACCAACTCATTCTCTCTTCCCCCTATCTGTCTGCCACCTAAATTATTTTTTACTGGGCTTCCTTTTTTTCCCCTCGGTTGGTAACGTCTCACTTGATATGTGAATTAAAATCCTTCTTTAGTGGCTACACCCTAACCAACAATATTTTTTTTTACCCATGGGTTATCTTTTTTTTTTTTGCTCCGAATTTCAAAACAAACAAAACAGTCTTTTCATTTATTATTTTGTTTGTTTTGGGATTCAGCCGTATGGTGATTCGGAGTTTAGAGATTTGGACAACTTGCCAAACGCTCACAATTTGGACAAATCACATTTCATTTGGAACCGCATGCACAAGTCAATATGCTATAGTCACATAGTCACAACACATAATTTGACTTTTTTAAATTTAACTTTTTAAAGTCGATATCTCTAAGGTAAATAGTATATTTGTGATTTTGGCCGACCTAGCAACCCAAGTAGTGTATTTATGGTTTATATGTTTATGTAATTTTTTACGTAAACACCTATATACCTCAAAATATTAATTCGTGCCTCTTCTCCATCGATTAATGAACAATCCAATTATAAAACCTTGAATGTAAGGCAAGAAGCTTCATTACATTGTTGGAAAATGACTCCAGCATGTGTGATTACCATTTCAATCACATTGCCTTGTTGACCTTGAAGTACTTTCCACTCAAATGCAATGTAGAAAGCAGATTTTTAAAACATGTTCAATGCACATTTCCTAAGACATCCACCCAGAATTGCAGATCTATTGATCAGTTTGCAATAATAGCATTAACTGAAATCACTAAGCACATTATGAATGGAATACCCTTTCTGATCCTGTCTCCAGGAGGAAGAGCCAGCATATTGTAGCACACAGCAGCACAGATTGTTCTGCTCAACCACAATGCCAACCCCCTCCTTCTCTATGTAGCCTGCAGAAACTGATAGATTCTCCTATTTTTCCATCATAGCACTGGCATCTGAATCCTTCTTCCCTGTGATCTTTGCAATGATTAACCAGCAGTGTATCCTTTGGTTGTTCTAATCTGCTGCATTAATGTTGCAGTTCAGTGCCCACAGAAGACTCCAGCTTTCTTCCAGCACTGGAGACAAGCTTTGCCCTCCATTCAGCCTCATTGAAAGCTCTCCCCTCTTCCTGTGACATGCAATGTAAGTTTTCAGGCTGCCTGGAATCTGTAGATGGCAGCTGTCTTACTCACACTCACCTTTTTGAATCTCAGGAAGCAGTCAGCAGGTAAATGATACAGGTGCAAAATGCCACTCTTTGTGTTAGTTATATTGTGATGGTGACAGTCTGCAGCTCAGTGCAGGAAGATGTGCAGATGTGTCTTTTATGGGCTGGAATTGTTAATGACAAATTAGCTTGAATTTCTCATAGATATTGCATGTGTTCAATTTCTTCATTATGCAGAATAATTTTTATTCTTAATACAAAATAATTTGATGTCGTAATAGAAAATAATTTTCTTCTTAATACAAGATAATTCGATTTGCTTTAAATGTTTTTAAATATCATTTTAAATATACTGTTTACAGCATGCATATTCATGTATTTATTAATGCATATAATGATAGACAGACTGACAGACAGGTAGGTAGGTAGGTAGATAGGTGAATCTGCCACTCCATAGAATTACAAGGGTTGACCAAAACTGGTATTACATGCTGTATAAGTGTTTCAGCTTTGTGTAACTGAACGTCTGTCCTTGTTTTATTTTTCTCATGTTGTATCCCCTGCGTGCCAGCATCAGCAGATTTTACAATTGCCAGGAGCCGCCAGCATTCACCCATTAACCAGTGGTAATAAAACATATCCCAGCTTTGGAGAGGAGACTCCAATAGGAATCTGAAACGCATATGCAACATATCATTGATAATCACCCAGACATGGCTACTGCTCTGCTAGCTGGAGAGAAACTGAAGGAGCTGATCCTGCCTGGGCCGCAGGACGACAGAGCGGGCTCGCTAGCTGCCCTCTTGGTGCAGCTGAAGCTTGAACTACCCTTTGACCGAGTGGTTACGATCGGCACCGTTCTCATTCCCATACTCCTAGTCACTTTGGTCTTCACAAAGAACTTTGCTGGTGAGTGGATCCTGACTTCACGTAATTTTATCTTCACTTATTAAGTATGTGCATTAAACCCGTCACCGTATTCATTTTGCAGAGCGAATCAATAATTTTAGGTCGGTTATACCATGTGATCACAAAGGTAGAAGTCTAATAGATTGAATAAGCCATGGTGACAGTTGTACCTGTGTTGGCAATTGACCCCTGAACTTCTGTAAGAGCCGCCAATGCAGCAGTTGAAGTTTATCAGAATTTCCTGTATTCCTGCACTGCACTGATTAATAAAGGGATCTGGTTTTCATTGAATTCATTAATAATAATAGATAAAGGGAACCTGATTAAGTGTATTTTCTCACGTCTTTATTGAATATTTTGATCCACAGCTCACTGCCTTTGTTGGAAAATCTACGTTAACCTTTAGATTTAGAAACTGACATCACATCCTTAAGCAGAAGTGACTTTAATATAATATTTTCTGTTTCTGTGATGTGTCATGGTGGTATTTTCATCCATTTTTCATTATAGAACTGCTTCAATTCATTGATACTTCTGAGCAGTGTTGCATGAACTTCTCAGTGAGGTCATTATGACACAATTTTACATTTGAGCTAAGGTCAGGACCTAACCATTCCAAAATGCTAATGATATTCTTCAGATGTTATAACATTTGAAGAATATAATTAGCATTTTGGAATGGTCAGGTCCTGACATTAGCTCAAATGCAAAATTGTGTCATAATGACCTCACTGAGCAGTTCATGCAAAACCGCTCAGATTTACATGTTTTTTGTCGAGCATATCATCACAGTGAGTGACAACTCATCCTTCAGCTCACAGAAGGACATCCTAATAGTGTTCTGTAGAAATTGCTTGTAAATGCAGATTTTATTCTTGAATTATTTCAAACCATCTGTGTCCAAACCTGCAACCCCCCCCCCCAAAAAAAAACCCCAACATATCATGCTCCTAGTATAATACTGATACAACTAGGTTTTATTGGAGTGTTCTATTGTGAACAAACACACGGGCCACTTCAAGGACTATAATTTAATTGGAATTAAGTTGTTATGATGCCAGAAGATCCCTTGCCTAAATGGTTAAACCATTAAAGAACGATTTAACTTCACAGTCTTCAATCCGCTGTCTGTCAGCTCTGTGCCTTCACCTACGTTCCAGTCTGAAGCCTCTTTTAGGAATCTACTAAAAGGCTGAGAGTGTCAGCTGATACTCTCAGGCAATCAGAGGCACTTAGTCCAAAGCTTTCTGATTGAAACCTTTCACTGGAACAGACGTGAAGGGTTAATGTTGATGGCACCAGAATGAAGACCTTGAGGAGAACAGTTAGTTAATAGTTTAACTCTTTCAGGTAACCCAGTGCCTGGGACCTCCTCACACCATAACAACTTAACTCATGCGTGCTACATTTTCTCTGTTTGTATACAACGTGCCTGACCATTTATTATCAATGGATTCAAAACAATATACATGCTAATTATTATTAAAAAAAAACTGTTATTTTTTGAAATGTCCTGAAAAATTTATTTCAATAGGCAAATTGTAAACTAAAAAAAGAGGTGTCATGAGCAGAGTCTGATGGAACGAGCAGAGACGGATTAAGAGTCCAGTGAGCCTGGTGACAATTATTGTGTATAGTGCCTTATTATAGAATCTTATTGACAGAAAACATTAAAATAGTCATAACTCCCAAGCATCATGTATCTGGATCCTGGAGGAGACGCACAGGATGTACTTTATAGGAGATTCACAGGATGTAATATATAAAAATACACATATCGTATGCTAATCTCTCGCTTTCATCTCTCACCAAGCCTATATCCCCCAACGCCAGCATCCTGTGAAGCAGGACTTCATGGACGGGGTAAAAGGAGGTGGGCCTGTGATGTGAATCACCTCACTGACACCGCCAAAAGGGGTGGACCCGACCAGAAAGGGGCTGGTCTGCCCAAAGAATTCGAAGGTCTGCCTGGAGTGACTGCATGCCAGGCTGCCTGCCAATCACGCAGGCCAACTAAGGGCGGTCTATGCAGACAATGCTGTTTCAGCATCCTGAGCTTGGATCAAATGTGACTAATGATGCACTTGCTGTATGTTTTCTTGTGTCCCTGATGTCCCGTAACACTGCCTTGCTCACCCTTCTTCTTCCCTTCTTACTATGAGGCAGAAGCTCCTGGTTTGTAGGCTGTGACACCGAAAATGTAGATGAAGTGAGTGTAGAATTAATGGAACATGCCACACTGTTAGAGAAACCAAAGCAGCAATATCATTTGCATAGTGCGCAAATTCACGGTGCGCAAAGTCAATTTATAGTCAGCCAGTCCACACTTACATCCCTCCTAAGTTACGATACATTAATTCCCTCTGCACAAAACAAGGGAACGTAAAGAGTAGTAAAAAGAAATGTTTTTTTCAACATCATTAAATCACAGAGATGTGATTTGTAAAGAAGGAATCATAATTAACTAAATACTGCTGATTAATTAGAACAGGGATCTCAAGCTCTGCCCCCCAGATATTGATGGCCTACAACACCCAAAATATTTCGAATGCAATAGATGGCCAGCAAATCATGGGAGTTGTAGTTCAGCAATATTTGGGGCCGATGTTTTAGATGCCTGATTTAGAAGATCACATTTCTTGTATTGTTTTATCAAATTTATTTAATCCATTATTATGGCCTAGATTATGTCAAATCAATGCAAAAGTACAGATAATTCTGTTAATTTGCTCAACACTAGCCAGCAGGGGGCAGTAGCTTTCAGATTTCACCCAACCTGCATACTTTGCCTCGTCAAAACCCCAGTCTCCCTGAGGTTAACTACACTCACCCCTCTTACACATAAACCCCTAACCCCGGCTGTTTCTTTCCTTACGTTGTTAAACCCAGGACTGGGCTGGAGGACAAGGAATTGCTCCTGGAGGAAGTCCTACTTTCCACTCTATTCAGACCTGATTGACAGCAGGTTTCTAGTCTTACATATAATGCTTGGGATAGCTAAGAAATGATAGAGAAAATGATATGTATGAATAAAAACGAGGGGCTGTAATGCAGACATTACATATAATATTATTATATTTATATAGCGCCAACAAGTTCCGTCGCGCTGTTCAATGGGTGGATTAACAAACATGTAATTGTAACCAGTAAAGTAACACAAAATGTAAGAGAAGTATTAGGGAAGATTGGTAGAACAGTATTCAATGAAGACTTAGTGTGCTTTTTTTTTGAGCCATTAACAGTTTAATTAATATTATTATTGTTATTATTATTATTTATAAAGCGCCAACAAGTTCTGGAGCGCTGTACAATGGGTGGACTAAGAGACACGTATTTGTAACCAGACGAGTTAGACACAAAAAGTGAGTTTTTAATGATTTTTTGAAGGAGTGGAGACTAGGTAAGCTTCTAACGGAAGAGGGAAGGGAGAATATATGAGAAACTACTCATATTTTGCAAAGACCCGGCTGCAAAGCTGACATTACATATATAACGAGCTACTCATATTTTGCAAAGACCCCAGATGATGACAGCTTTACTTCCAGTGCATTGGCCTGTGCATGCAGGGAAATGTATATTTTACTTACCTGCTTCTGTCCCTCACAGCCATGTCCTTCCACAAGGTCCGCATGTTCCTGACACTCAGCAATTCCGCTTTTAGCCTCTGACGCTCCATGCACGTCTTGCTCCTTGTTCTTACGTCATTCATGACGCTGAACTCTCACACCCTGCCCCTTTATATATTTGAAGTTACAGGTGCCTTTTTATCACACAGACCTGTAACCAATCACTACACAGTGTTCCTAGTTCCTTGACATATTGTGGTTTTTGTATACCGGAGAGTGCCATGTTATAGTACTTATTGCATTTTCTGACCTTGGCTTGTGTAGACTATTCTTGCTCTCTGTAGCCCTGACCTTGGCTTGTTTCTCGATTCTGTCTGCCTCTGTAATCCCTGACCTCGGCTTGCTAAAATTTATTCTGTGTCTGCTTGCAGACGTTCTGACTTATTTCTCAGTGTTAACCCAACCACTCTAAGGACTGGTACGCATACCTACCATGTTTTAACCTAGGTTTCTGTGTTAGGTTCAGGTCAATCCTGACACCTGACACCTGACACTACATCTGCCAGTAGCCAACATCAGCACTGTACTCTCGCGCATGCACAAGAATACAATACTGATGTCTATGGACGATCCCATGAGTCATCCATAAACAGAGCCATTTTTGTGATGACTGAGGGCGTGACAAAGCTTGACAGAGGTAGCTCCACCATTTGTCAAGTCCCTGCTTTGTCTTATGATATCTTTTTAACTGTGTTTTGGTGAAATCCCAGAACAGTCTTTATGAGCATTTCATAAAGATTCTATCTTTGGGAGTGGGAGTGAAAAAGCCGCTTTAATTCTGTAATGTGACTAATTAATGAGGAGGAAGTTATCCTCAGTGACACATTAAAACTAATTGCTGTATCATATAGTCACATAAAAGAAACTTTTTTTAAATCTGGGCCCTGTCTTTTATGTTGGGAAGTCTGTGGGTCCCTGTCGAGTGCACTAGATCCTCGTAGCTGCGTTATATAATGACATCCCTCAAAAAAGTATCACTAACTCTTTATATATCAATATTATATCCATATGTGAAGGGGCTTGTTTTGTATCTAACAGTGGTTTTTGCGTTATATATTGTGCAGAATACTGTTTTTCTTCTTAATTTATATTGTTTGTATGCAGATTTATTGTACTTACTATAAGATCTTATACTATATTTATAATATTTATCTGAATAGGATACAGCTTCCAAAAAAGCTTGTAGTTATGTGATTGTAGTCACTGTACTAAGGACAAATAAACACAATCTGGAAACTTAAAGGACCATTATAGTGTCAGGAAAACAAACTTGTTTTCCTGACACTAAATAATCCTTAGGTCCCCCCCCCCTCAGGGCCCCCCTCCCACTGGGGTCAAGGGGTTTAAACCACTTCCTTTTATTCAGCGCCGGGCCCCCTCGGTGCTGGTGACCTTTCCTCGCCCTCCGACTTCAGCTCCCAAGTGGAGCTGAAAGTGCATGCGCGGCAAGAGACGTGGATGCATTAAAAACTCCCATAGGAAAGCATTTCTCAATGCTTTCCTATGGACGTTCTGCGTGCTCAATGCGATTTTTGCAATGGGGGTCGGGGAAGCGCCTCTAGCGGCTGTCAGGAAGACTAGAGTCTGGATTAACCCTGCAATGTAAACATAGCAGTTTCTTTGAAACTGCTATGATTACAGCTGCAGGGTTAAAACCTGGGGGACCTGGCACTCAGACCACTTCATTGAGCTGAAGTGGTCTAGGTGACTATAGTGGTCCTTTAAATTGAGTGATAAGATCATAAAGGTCATGTTTATTTTGTGATACATAGTTTCCTTAACCAGCTGTCATGTAGGCGTATAAACCACTCAAGGCATCATAAGGTCATTTTAAATATTACATCAAGAGAACTTCATTAATAGCTAATCACAGTAATAATTTATTTCTGCTTTAGCAGATGCTTGTGGATTTAATCAGTAAATAGCTGTAATGATAAATGTTGGTATTTCTGATATCTGTATTTATCTACACATGCTTAGTGTTGGATTTTAAATTTTTACAAAGAGTGCTAGATTTAATTACAATTGATTTTCTGTGTTTTTTTTTGTTTGTTTTTTATGGAACACTTTAAGCGCCGTAACTAATACAGTGTCCTGTAGTGGTTATGGTGCGCTGGTTCCACCCGATATAAGTAGTGCTGAGCTAAGCCCTGCCAATGAGATAATCCCTGCACTGCCAGGCTTAGCTTGGGCAGAGAGTTTCCGGCGGGTAGGAGGATGCAGAGGAGGCAGGAAGCTGCAACCAGCGGACCCCAGGTAACAAGTCAAACTGTTGGTTAACTACTTACCTAGGGAAGGAGCATGGCAGTGCACAAAAGTGGTTATGGTGATTGGAGTGTTCCTTTAAGATAATAATGATTACAATATGGGAGATCCAGTCTTCGGTTAGTAGATATACTTGGAGTATGGCTATTATTTCTGTGTAAATTTTGAAATTCTCAGCATTTGTCATATATTTTATAATGAATATTTTTCTTTTTTTCAAAACAAGGTTTTTTTATGTTGGTATAGAAATTATGTTCCCTATTGGTATAGAAATTATGCTCGCCGCACATTCCCAGGAACCCACATGGTAACTATACTGGGCATGTGCAACAGAGGATGGAGATTATAGATGAGGGACAAGACAGGCAACTGAGTTTTATGAGAATATTAAACTTGATTGTTCAAACTTGTTTGAACACTCTTTGTTAAGATATGTCAAGCACAGGAAAAAAAACACAAGGCAAAATAGCTCATAAAAGAAAAGAAAAGAAAAGAAAAGGAAAACAGATTTGGAAAGAGGAAGAGAAGTGGATAAGATTGGAGAAAGGTAAGTTTGGGGCGACAGAGCAGCTTTAAAGCAGCTAACAGTTCAGTGTAACAGATTTGTGTAAGAAAGCTACTGAGACTCAATTTGTACATGCTCACAGCTGGGGCTCAGGTTATATAATGGTCCATTTTCAAACAGGAGGAATGATTTCAGATGATGTGATGCTAAAGTGTTGTTCGGAATACCTATTTCTCAATATCATCTAAATGCCTTTGTTACAAATAAACTGTTGCTTTTACAGAACTTTAAGGAAGCAGATATAGTAAACATTTAGTAATTTAAATACAATTATCATTAAATGGCCAAGGGCTCTGATTAATATGGAGAGCACTTCAAGTGGCAGGCAGTAAGTGAACAGTATGGAACAGTGTTTACAACAAGCCTCCTGCTAAGAGCGGACAAATGTTGGTATCGGTGAAATTGCATTAGATTGCTGAGTAAATAGTTTTTTTTACATCTTTGTTTTTTTTCTTTCTTATACTTTGGATGTTATTGAATTTGTAGAATGTGATCTGAGCAGACTAATCTCATATTTACAAATACAACATTCAATGGCATCGTGTGACATTTGATGGCATGCAAAAACCAACATGAAGACAAGAGCACGCCACTGTGTATACAGACACAGGTAAGCCAACATGCACACTTACTAACATTGTACACACACAGGCAAGCCAACATACACACTTACTGACATTGGACTCACACAGGCACGCCCACATACACACTTACTGACATTGTACACACATAGGCACACCAACATACACACACATGCTGACATTATACACACACAGAGAAACCAACATACACACACTTACTGACATTTTACACACACAGAGAAACCAACATACACACACTTACTGACATTTTACACACACAGAGAAACCAACATACACACGCTTACTGACATTGTACACACACAGAGAAACCTTCATACACACTTACTGACATTGTACACACACAGAGAAACCAACATACACACTTACTGACATTGTACGCACACAGGCACACCAACATACACAATTACTGACATTGTACACACACAGGCACACCAACATACACACTTACTGACATTGCATGCACACAGCAACACCAACATACACAATTACTGACATTGTACACACACAGGCACACCAATATACACACTTACTGACATTGCATGCACACAGCAACACCAACATACACAATTACTGACATTGTACACACACAGGCACACCAACATACACACTTACTGACATTGCATGCACACAGCAACACCAACATACACAATTACTGACATTGTACACATGCACCCACAATAAAATCTGGATTGGAAGCCTGGTGTTAGGGTTGGTTGATGGAATGTTCATTGAAAGAGCTAATGTGTTTTATTTCTTCAGCTTCTGTATTTTTTTCTTCATGTAGCAACTTGCTTCCAAAGAAAATGCATTAGAATGCTTACATTTTTAGCATACAGCTTTAAGTTTATTGGCTTCTGAAAAGGCTGGGAGGAAAGTTAGGAGAGAAGAATAATGATTTGGATTCATAACCTATTCAGAGACCTGCAGAAAAAAAGAATAGGAGTTTAATCTGTGTCTCCCAGATGTACAACAAGGACAAAACAATTCAGCTTCCCGAAATAAGTCAAAGCTTCATTTGCATGTTTATTTACTATTAGTATTATTCACTGAATTGTAGGGAATTTAATGTGAGTTAAAAAAAATGTAGGCCAAACTGAAAATATAGCTAAATTGGAGATTTTTACCAATCCAGCTATTTTGGTCTAAAATTTCACTTTTAACTCCTGACAATTCACAGTTTAGTGAATATCATGCAACTAATATATACTCCATGAAATAGCAGATTTCTGTTTCTTTAAGTGAAATAACCTCTTACTGTTGCATTAATCAGTGTGATATTGCACATGGCATTTTTTTCTTGCAACATTCTCTTCCCAGTAGTTTGCCAAAGGGTCCTTTAACAGAATGCGGCAGATGCGAAGCATGGAACTATACCTTATATTTGCCATATACTGCAAATATAGGACTCCCAAAAGTCCAGCTTTTGGAGGGACAGTCCCAATTTCCAGGTAATGTCTCGCCATCCTGCTTAAGTTCCCTGGTATCCTGCGCTAACGCTGTACAGCAGGCACTAAGACCATACAGAGAGCGCTTTAGCAGCACTCCATTCGTGGTCCTGAAGGCTGTGGGTCGGTAAGACAGACTGACAGTTGGCGGGCCATTGATGTACCAATTGTGGGGATATATACAAATATATATGTTTTACTTTCAAGGGCCACTAAAGGCACCAAGACCACTTAATCAATATGATCTTGGTGCAGTATACCTTTAGTTTTAAGCATGAGATCTAAAACATTGCTGTTAAGTAGATACAGCAGTGCTTACATTGCAAGGTAAAACACACCTCTACTGACAGTGTTTCTGACTCCCACTAGAAGCACTTGCACTGAATAACAGAGTCAGACTTGGAAATTCAATTCGATTTTGTTTTTTATTTTGATTTGGCGCAACGCTGCATTTTGATTGGCGCAGCGCTGCATTTTGCTGCGCATGCACTCTAGCATCTCTTAGAAATGTCACCAGCACTGCCTCAGTCACTCTCGGTAGTCACTTGTAAATAGCTCCACACTCACCCTGCTCTGGCAGCTTGGTCCACCCCGATACTGCAGTCCAGTGGGAAATTTACCACGGGGTCAGGTCTTGAGGCCATTAAAAGCACAGACCACCAGCCCATGCACAGGCCAACTCAGTGCGTGCTGGTAGACACCCTCCACACTCCCTGCTGCTGCCTCACTCCAACACACCTCCTGCTATTTTCAAAATGATGGTTTGAGGCTGCAGAAGAATGTTTGTTTTAAATATCCCATTTGCTGGGCCTGCTCAGCTTTGTCAGGTTAATGCTGAGGTCCAATGTAGCCCATGTATTTTATTTTTTACTTCATTTTATTTTGCCCTTTTAGCAAAGGGTAGAGGTGGTATTACTTAATGGTATGCCAGGGTTACTTAGTCTCAAGCTCAGTAATTCAGACACCAGGGGATGCCCAATCTCCTGGTCCTAATACTGTGAGGAACAAAGATTCCACAAATACTGGGGCCATAATCCTATTTATCCCTCATCCCAGTTAGAGGTCCTGTGGTTTGTCCCTGCCCCACTATTCTTGGCTGTAACAGGTTTAAGTTACAGATATTTAGGAGAGTTGTACCAGCATAGTGAGGTTTGTAGGAGATGTTTACATTTCTTAATGGAGGTTTTTCACCCATTTTGATCCATACCAAGCTGAGACAGATTATTTTGACTTTTTTTGTTTTGTTTTTGTTTTGTTTGTGTGTTAACATCATTTAGTAGAGTGCATTAAATGGGGAAATAATAATTTAATTTCATATTATTGCCAACACGTGACTGTAAATGAACATAATAATAATAATAATACAGAAAGTTACCCCTGCCAATTTCAAGCTCTGAATGAACTACAAATCCCTTAATTATTCTGGCCATCTATTGCATTCAGAGAATTTTGGGAAATGTAGGCCATTAGCATCTGGAGGGGTTGAGAAACCCGCTGTAAATAATGCACTAAAAATGTATGCAAAAAAAAAGTCTTACTTTTAAAGTTCCTTAAAGAGGTACTATAGTCAGTTGCCTCAATGACGTGCTGTATGCTTTGTCCCTGCCCTCTTAATCCGGTTTTTATTTAGAAGCTGCACTGTTTACATTGCAGGGTTAAATCCGCCTCTAGTGGCTGTCAGTGTGGCAACCTTCAGAGGCACTTCTGCGGTACTAATTAAGTAAAACGTGGTCACTTGATGCGAAAGCTCCATAGAAAAGCATTGACACTCACCACACAAGCGCATAAGGCCCCCATTGCTCCTTTTCCACGAAGGTGTTGGGGGGAGGGGAAGGGAGAGGTGAACAGCTGGGAAAATGTGACTAAATCTTTAACCTTTTTATTTTAATTTTACTGCATTTTGTGGGAGGACCCTAATACAAGCAGGGATAGGGACACTAGAGCATTAGGAATACAGAATTTTATTCCCAAGGCTATAGCGTTCCTTTAAATTGCAGCAATTACACTGCCCTGCAAGGAAGAGACTCCATAAAAGGCCTTTCTAATCTATAATTTAAACTCTTGTCCAACGGGGGATTATGGGATATGGTTTATACACCGACACACAGGATGAGAGAAGCTTCTTGATACTCTGATAACAGCCTATTTAAAGCTGCTTTGTCATGTGCCCTTTCCCTATTGGTATAGAAATTATGCTCGCCGCACATTCCCAGGAACCCACATGGTAACTATACTGGGCATATGCAACAGAGGATGGAGATTATAGATGAGGGACAAAACAGGCAACTGAGTTTTATGAGAATATTAAACTTGATTGTTCAAACTTGTTTGAACACTCTTTGTTAAGATATGTCAAGCACAGGAAAAAAACACAAGGCAAAATAGCTCATAAAAGAAAAGAAAAGGAAAACAGATTCGGAAAGAGGAAGAGAAGTGGATAAGATTGGAGAAAGGTAAGTTTGGGGCGACAGAGCAGCTTTAAAGCAGCTAACAGTTCAGTGTAACAGATTTGTGTAAGAAAACTACGGAGACTCAATTTGTACATGCCCACAGCTGGGGCTCAGGCTATATAATGGTCCATTTTCAAACGGGAGGAATGATTTCAGATGATGTAATGTTCAAGTGTTGTTCGGAATACCTATTTCTCAATATCATCTAAATGCCTTTGTTACAAATAAACTGTTGCTTTTACAGAACTTTAAGGAAACAGATATAGTAACAATTTAGTAATATAAATACAATTATCATTAAATGGCCAAGGGCTCTGATTAATATGGAGAGCACTTCAAGTGGCAGGCAGTAAGTGAACCTATTTGTTCAAAGGATCATGTTGAGCACCCCACAATAAGTTTGAATTATTACATGGGTTTATATTATAAATATGTTAAAGGGACACTATGGGCACCCAGACCACTTCATCCTAATAAACTGGTCTGGGTGCCACGTCCCTGCCACTTCATCTTAATAAAGTGGTCTAGGTGCCACGTCCCTGTCTGTGTAAGCCAGTAATGTAAAATGGCATTGCTTGCCTTGCAGGGTCTAACTGTCTCCAGTGGCAACCAGGTGTCCACTCCCCACCCCCCACCAAGTAAAAAAGCAATTTTACTTACCTTGCTTCCATCACAACTTAGTCCCAAGAAAGAACCAGTTAGGTCTGCAAACAGCAATAGTAGCCAAAGTAACTTGGTACCTGGGTAACTTCAAGACTCAGGATTTGTGTAGGAAGCCATATCCAGTAGGGGTAAGCCCAGCTGAGAATACACATTATTTACTAAAGTGAGTATTCAAAGTGAAATGGCCAAAGTTCCCAAACTGAAAGCGCAGCTGACTTTTTTTTCCAGTTCAGCTATTTTGATCCCAATGAACTGATCTAAGGGGGCAGTGTCCATTATTAAGTCTGCAATGCAAATGTTTTTTATGACATAATGATAGCCACCAGAGACGATTCCGCTGCAATGAACGAGTAAAACTCTTTCACGTGACGCACGTGAAGCCCTATAGAAAACCAAGGAATACAATGCTTTCCAATGGGGAAGCTTGAATGCACGCATGCGCATCAGGTCCTCTATACAGAACTTGGGACAGATAGCGTTAGGAATACAGGTTTTCATTCCTAACGCTGTAGTGTTCCTTTAAATTTGAAATTCACTTTGAATTCTCAGTTTAGTAAATAACCCACTAAAATATAGAAAACCTCAAAGTAGGTGAAAAAGTGAAATTAAATATCTTCTCATCCACAAAACTACTCACATTGGGTTCAGTACCTCTATAAATAAAAGCATGTAGCTTGCAAGTGCAGTAGTACTTTCGTCCCTAAACTGGGATTTTATCAAGATAATGGACTCATCATTTAACATTGTGCTATAATGCAAATAAAAATGACCCTGTGTATACACAGGGTTGGGGGTAGAGAGATAATATGCAGATCAGAATATTTATTGTATTGGTTTTGCATAACTATTTTGAAAAAGCAGGACAATTACATGGCATAATTTGCCTTGGGATTCCATGTGCACCCAACATGTTCTATGGTGAAATGTCGCAATGAAAAGGATTGCAAATCTGTTACCAGCTTCAGGCATCTACCTTGTGAGAACCACAAACAGCATTAATAAAGTAAATATATATTTATTTTTCTACCTCCAGAAGAATGTTTAACAGATGGCTTATTTCTCTTGTGTCTGCATTATTTGTTGAAGCAACATATTCCTCTGTGACGTTTTTCCATGTACAGACTAGAAATTTAATGTTAGACCATCTGTGCCCTGTTCCAATTAGATATTGGCTAAATGACCATTTTGTAATCTGTAACGGCACGCACACTGCAAAATTGTTCATTATGTGTCATGCTTATTAAAGGGACACCATAAGATCTAGAGTAATACATGCTACTGTAACAATATTCCTCATTGCAAAGGTTATGGAACTTAGAGCTCCTGTTGTACTGTGTCTATACATTCAGTTGCTGCAATTTTAAAGGACAATCTGTGTACCATAACCACTACAGCTGGGTTTAGTGTTTATAATGCCCTCTTTTTCAGCAGTCTTGATTGTGCCAAAATTTCACTTACTATTAATATCAGTTCTGTCCAACATGGGTGGTAATGATATTCTAAAAACATTGGGGGAGGTTTAGTGCAGTGCTTGGCTTAGAATCGCCTTTTAGGTTGTATTTATATTGATAATATGGAAGTGTAAGTTAGACGTTCTCAAGGCGGTAGAATAAAGCTTTTTCTATGACTACCAGAGAGAGTGCCAAAACAGTTTGACCTATATATTAGTAACATAGACTGGGCAGTAGTGGTTATGGTGCTTTGAATGCCTCCTTATCATCTGTGACTAATTTAGATTACCTATATTTTATAGAGTTTATATATATATATAATCACCCCAATAAATATCTTTTGTCTTATCATTATGCATGCACAAACCCAAACAGTGGTATTTATGTTTTACGTTATTGTCAATAAAGTTGCATTAACACTTTCTCACACCCTTTAGTTTATAGTGTATTAAATGCTTAAAGGTAAAACATTGTTTTTGTTTCTCATTTTCCACTAACTATATTCAATGGCAGAAAAGGGCAACACTTATAACAATGATTGACAGGGAGTTAAAATCGGGATGCCCTGTTCCAGGATAGAGTGTGGATTTGTACATTACATTTTATTTTTCACCTCACAAACACATTTGTCAAAGGAAAACTATAGGCTAGTAACACAAAATCGCATGCCCCTCACCTGTAATGATGAAAGAGTTAAAAACCCTTACCTTGTCACTTACCTAAATCCAGTGCTTTTGTCCCTCGGTGCTGGGTTAGGCTCCACCTTCACTCCTCCTCCCCTGACTTCGGCCGACATTGGGGACCTAATACGCATGCGTGGTGATCCCCGCAATCGTATTCGAATAACCCTATAGGATAGCATTGATTCAATGCTCTCGTACAGGGTTTTAGCTGACACTGGATGTCCTCATGCATAGTGTGAGGACGTCCAGGCTCAGTTATGTGACCAAAATTTGCCTAACAAGCCGGAAGCGTCTCTAGTGGCTGTCTGGTAGTCAACTACTAGAGGTGGAGTTAACCCTGCAAAGGTCATTGTTGGAGTTTCTCAATAACTGCAATAACTACAATTGCAGGGCTAAACTGACAGGGACAGTGGTCTGGCTGCCTATAATGTCCCTTTAAATATAGGGGATAGGTAAATATGTGAAATCGTGAGAAGTGACAGTTCCCCTTTAATAGTTTAATGAAATGGCATGTACATTTAAGTAACATGATTTACATAATTATTCCCTGTAATGTTGGAGATTGACTGGGTCTGGTAGCAGTACGAAATGGGATAGGATGCAGGTGCTGCTGAAGTGATGTGGATACAGGCTCAGAGGCCCCTGTAATCAGCTCTGCTAACATAAAATAGTGCCTGATTTTTAAGTAGATGTAAAACAATTAAAAAGATCAAAAACAAACCAGGAAAGCACAATCTTCACATAGATTTAGGGAATTAGTAAAAAGTGATTTATTGCAGCTATGCCTTCAGATCCACAATAAGGCATAAAGGTTTAAAGAAACAAAGCATTGGATTTTGTTAGGGCTTAAATTGATATCTTTTCTGCTTTTTTTAATATAATGCAAATCACTGCATTTGATCTTTGGATTGGTCAAAAAGAAAAAAGCAATTAAGTAGTGATGGTAGGCGATTACTAATTATTAAATTTTTTTGGCCAAAATGCTTTTTTATAATATACTACAAGCCAAAAATTCTATCATTTTAAATATATTTATTTTTCAGAGCTTCTTTTGTAGGTTAAAACCACAGCAGTGACTTTTCTCTCTGTTATGCAGAGGAGCCTATATATTGCTATACACCCCACAACTTCACCCGTGATCAAGCCTTGTATGCAAGAGGATATTGCTGGACTGAACTTAAAGATGCACTTCCGGGAGTGAACGCCAGTCAGTGGTCTTCATTGTTTGAGCACAAGTTTCTCCCTTATGCTCTCCTGGCATTTGCTGGGATAATGTACATTCCTGCCCTCGGCTGGGAGTTCCTTGCCTCAACGAGATTGACCTCAGAACTGAACTTTCTGCTTCAAGAAATTGATAATTGCTACCATCGAGCAGCTGAGGGTAGGGCCCCCAAAATAGAGAAACAAATTCAATCCAAGGGACCGGGTATCACAGAAAGAGAAAAGAGGGAGATAATCGAAAACGCGGAGAAAGAGAAAAGCCCTGAGCAGAATCTTTTTGAAAAGTATCTTGAAAGAAGGGGACGAAGTAACTTTTTGGCCAAACTTTACTTGGCAAGACATTTGCTCATAATATTTTTAAGCATCATACCCATTACATATTTAAGTACCTATTATGCAACTCAAAAGCAGAATGAATTCACCTGTGCTCTGGGGGAGCCCCATCATAAAACCAGCAACTCAAAGCACCTTATATGGGTGAATTGTAAGCTGCCATCTGTTCAGCTCCAAAGAATCATTGCTTCAGTGGACATTTTTCTTCTCAGTTTGATGAACCTGATCATCCTCATCAATTTAATCCACCTGTTTATCGTTCGGAAGTCCAACTTCATTTTTGACAAGCTCAATAAGGTTGGCATAAAAACAAAGAAACAATGGCAAAAATCCCAGTTTTGCGATATCAATATTCTCGCCATGTTTTGCAATGAAAATCGTGACCATATCAAGTCCCTTAATCGCCTGGATTTCATCACAAATGAAAGTGACTTGATGTACGACAATGTGGTTCGCCAATTGCTTGCAGCGCTGGCCCAGTCTAATTACGATACGACGCCAACCATGCGTGATTCAGGGATGCAAACGGTAGATCCCAGCGCTGATCCGGCAGATATAGATGTCAACGAACAGCTTGTCATTAAACGTCCTAGGAAGAAAATGAAATGGATTCCAAGTAGCAATCCCTTACCCCAACCCTTTAAGGAACAAATAGCCATAATGAAGACTGAAAATAGCAAACCTGACAAGCCTAAACCTATGAGACGGAAAACTGCAACAGACAGCTTGATAGCACCCCTCATTGAGACTTCATCCAAATCCTCTACACAGTCACCGCAGAAAATGGATACAAGCACCATCACTATTGACAACGGCGATAAAAAACATGCTAGGCACTTCTCGCTAGATGTCCACCCATACGTTCTAAGCAATAAAAAAACCAAATCAGAAGCACTGGACAATGCTCCTATTGCCACATCGGAAAGCCAAGAAAGCGGTTTCCTGAATCAAGAAGATAGTGTGATTGTCCACGTCTCATCATCTGTGAAAGGTAAGTCACCTTCCTCTTGTTTTCATATTGCCATAGGCTCAACCTCTATTAATCAGTGGTACAAATGCAAAGTTATCAAGCCCTGTAAATATTTTGTCACAGGTACAATGTACAAAGGTTCCACCCTCTCCTCCATCCCTTCTTACTTTTCTCTTCCATTGCTTTTCTTCTTCCACATGGACTAATTTTACTTGACCCTTTTTTGTTCTGTTTCTGTGCTCCAAATAATGGCTGAAGTCAGTCAGTGAGTGGATTGTTGTTCACCTATAATCAGTGTATAGTTTACTTTTATGTATATTTTGATTATTAACATAACATAACTTAACATATTGTACTTTGCTGCTATTACTTCTTGAAACCATCAATATATTTTATTGATTACAAAAGAAAAAAACACAAAACGATTTCATAAGAGACCAAAATTTAAAAGTAAAAAAAATAAATAGGATTTGGGTTCATGAATATACATAGTTACATAATTACAAAGCTGAAAAGAGACATTAAGTTCAGCATTCCTCATGTTTGTTTTTGCTGTTGAATCAAAAGAAGACAAACTTCCAGTCTAAAGTACTTCCTAGCAAACTAGGAAAACATATTTATTGACCCCAGAATTTTTTTAAATTGCTGATAGAAGGGCTCTTCTCAAACATGCCAACTTGTCCATCCTCATTTGTGGTGATTTTCGTCACCATCTGGTTATCAATGTATTCTCCTGCATGAGCATGAATACAAGCTGGCCTTCTGCCAAAGACCTTGTTGGATGGCCGATGTCAATATTTGTCTGTATTTAGAGGCCAGGATCATCCTGCATATGTACATTTCATTAAAATTGCGAATTGAAATGCTAGAACTAACAACCTGGAATGGTTCACTCAGGAAAAACATTGAAAGTAAACACGGAAGTAAAACTGTTTAAAATAGGTTTTACTATATGCATTTTGACCAGCTTGACTTATAAAATCCTGCTTGTCCTTCTTTTGATTTGCCTGCAGTATGCTGCTACATCTTTTTATTCAATGCATATTAGATGCTATTTTGTAATGTTACTCGAGGAATAAACAGAACGAAAAACAGCAGATGACAGATCTACTTTAAGGTGCCCCGAGAGAGGATTTTGTATTTATGGGTTGCTACTGCTTAAAGGGACACTGCAGTCACCAGAACAGCTACAGCTTATTGCATTTGTTCTTGTGAGTCTAATCAGAGAAAATGCAGTGTTTAGATTACAGCTTAGTGATAACTCCACTGGCCACTCCTCAGTTTACTACTAGAGGTGCTTTCTGGGGCAGTGTTGCACAGTGAGTTCACTGCCATTCAGTATCTCCTCCCTCTGCATGCAGACACTGAACTTTTCTCATAGAGATACATCGATTCAATTAATCTCTATGAGGAGATGCTGATTGGTGGAGCTGTGTTTGACTTGTGCTGTCTCTGCCCCTGATCTGCCTCCTTGACAGTCTCAGCCAATCCTATGGGGAAGCATTGTGACTAGCTCAGACCACCACTTCTGATGATGTCAGCAAACAGCAGGCAGATCAGATACAGACGGGGCAGAGCCAGCAGCTGCAGACTAACATTTAACTATATTTAGGGAGGCACGAGAACATGTTCTAAAAGTAAATAAATAAATGGAAGGTAACTGAAATTATACGGAATATAAGGAAAATAATTTTTATAATCAGATAAATTCACAATAGGCTGCTTCACAACACAATGATGAGCGACTGATAGAAAGAAGACAAATATAATAAGGGTGTGTGTGAGCGCTCCAAAATAACCCTAGACACGTACCAATTAGGGAAAAGTGATAAACCACTTATGTATACACTATAAATTTCATTTGGATAATACAGTAAATAAATCAGTTTGTGTCTGCTGACAATTATCTCTCAAAGATAAATAAATGAGAGAGAGAATCAGTTCAAAAGTTAGTATTCAATCCAATAAATTCAATAAATAATTGCACACTATATAAACTTAATAGAATAAAATCAGCAAATGAATTAATCACGGTAAATAATGCATAAAACCGTCTAGACTATTATAAAAATAGGCAAAAATGCATTTATTAATCTATAAAAAGTGTACTAAAAGATATGGATCATAATAACGCAATACACATCAATCACTGATAAATAAATATCGGTCTAATTGTAGCCGATATAGTTCAGCAAAATACACAAGTCTGGATACAATAGTTTCAGTACAAACTCCAGCATGGGGGGCCTCCCTCTGGAGCAAACTTCAAAAAATCTATAGGATATTCAAGTAGATCCACAAAATTAAAATCCAAACAAACTGATGTAGGAGCTGATGATAAAATCGGTATAGAGGTGATCACCAACCTGGGGGAGGTTTGGAGCTCATAAACGTGTCCAGTAAAATGCAGGTGGCTAAGGGTCGTCTACGCGTTTCGTCTCTAACAGAGACTTTTTCAGGACTAATACATATCGGGTGCTTACTGGGTATATATACCCATACTTTGGGAGCGTCTTTAAGTTACAAATTAAGATGTCATATTGAAAAGAAGAAATCATTCTTTGAAAATTCAAGTAGTCAGTCAATGCAATAATCTCTGCAGGGTTAATCATGATATATAGTACATATGTATAACAAACATGTAGATAAAATGGGATATAAAAACAAAAAATCCTTAATGCAGAAAATAGACAGTTATAAAGTAATCACTGAACCTGCTTTACAGTTATCATATAATAAAATGTTATAAGCATAATCCTTAATGTCACAGTGTCAGAGGAAGAGATGCAGGGGGAGAAACCCCCATCTATACAGGTATTGCACTGTTCATTAGATAAAGAAGTATAAATCTTAACAAAGGAACTTGTGTATGATAACTAACTATTGCTCTGCCAGCATCTTCAGCCATTGAAGCTCTGCCTCATACATAATGGAGATGCAATCCCAATGGAGCTGAATCAATAGAAAAAATAAGGGGGAGGGAAAAATAAATAATCTAAAAAATCTGCTCAATTTCTTCATTTAACCCCTGTGGAAAAAGAGTGTTAAGTTAGAAAATCCAATATGTTTCTGCAGTGATTAAAGGACCACTATAGTGCCCTAAGGGTGCCCCCACCCTCAAGGTCCCCTTCCCACCGGGCTCTAGGGGGTGGAAGGGGTTAAACTTACCTCTTTCTCCAGAGCCGGGCGGGGAACTCTCCTCCTCCTCGGCTGAATGCGCATCCAATGCTTTCCTATGGATGCTGGCGTCTTCTCACTGTGATTTTCACAGTGAGAAGCGCGGAAGCCCTCTAGCGGCTGTCAATGCGACAGCCACTAGAGGCTGGATTAACCCTAATATAAACATAGCAGTTTCTCTGAAACTGCTATGTTTATAGAAATAAGGGTTAATCCTAGCTGGACCTGGCACCCAGACCACTTCATTAAGCTGAAGTGGTCTGGGTGCCTATAGTGGTCCTTTAAGGCTTTTTTCCTATTATCAGAGTTCGTCTTGACTGGAATTTGCTGGATACCCATTACTGATATGTTTGGGGTCACTATTATGTACTGCTTGAAAATGTCGGGCTATGGGAGATTTTCTCTCGTTATGTAAAATCGCCAGCCTATGTTCCCTAAATCTTGCTTTTAAAGTCCTAGTTGTTTGCCCAACGTAAAGTAAACCGCAAGTAGACAACAAAAACCGAATTACATAATATCCTGGTGTTAATAGTAAAATTTGGGTCATGGGATGAAGAACCAAAATCAGATTGCCCATGACGTATGAATTGGCATGTCAGAGAGCCACATCTAAAATTCCCTATTCTCGAGTCTGAAAGGGTATTGGTCGGTTTGGCAGACATTAGTTTGGATGGAGCTAGTAAGTTCTTGAGGCTCATATTTTTTCTAAAAGTGACCCAGGGGCTCCACAGAGATACTGAAGTTCAGCCAAGGATCTAGGCGTAAAATAGGCCAATGTTTCTGTAGAATCCTGATAATATGGTCGTGGGCATTGTTAAAAACAGTAGTAAAAATTGGACCTTTATTCGTAGCAACATCTTTTGTACTATATGAAAATTGTTGAGCTTCTTACTCTTCATCATTGGTGGTTCTGCTTCAGACAACAACAGGTCCTTCGGGGTATTCTTATAGGCAACTCATCAATCCCCTAATTGAATAGAGTAAATCTATCTAAATTTCTAGCTTTGTTGTAGGCGCCAAGGATTACTCGTGGATCAAATTCTTTCTCTAAAAATCGTTGACATAAGTCCTTGGCTTCCTCCTCAAAGTCTTCCAGAAAAGTACAATTTCGGCGCAATCTTGTAAACTGGCCATATGGGATATTATTAATCCATGTCGGATGATGCCCACTAGTAGCATGCAAAAACCCATTCACATCTACTGATTTTTTTATAAGTCTTAGTCACAATACGGCCAGATTTACCACATAACAAAAGGTCCAAAAATTCCACTTCAGATTTGTTCTTCTTGCTGGTAAAAGAAAGGCCCCATTGGTTGGTGTTAAGATCACTGATAAAACTGTCAATAGCATAAAAGTCACCTCTCCAGATGATGAGAATATCGTCAATAAAAAGTTTATAAAAACTATATTATCCATCCTTTTAGGGTTATTATAAATATGAATTTGCTCCCAAAATCCCATAAAAAGGTTGGCATAAGAAGGTGCAAAGCTTGCCCCCATCGCTGTACCCTTAGTCTGTAAATAAAATTGCCCATTAAAGCTAAAATAATTATGGGTTAAAATGAATGAAACACTCTCTAAGATCGCTTTGGCCTGATTGTGTGGAAGTAGTGGATCTTCAAAACAAGAAAAATTCAAGTGCCCTGAGTCCCAGGTTATGGTCAATGTTGGAATATAACAAGAGAAAATGTTCTTTCTGAATTAATAAAAAATAATAAAAAGTTGAGCCATATGATTAATCAATATAAAAACGCCAAATAAATTGAGGGGGTGAGGGGAGTAAACACACTGCAAACAAAAAAAACAAAGGTGTTTATCTATTGGAAAGCTAATGAGCTGATGAGTCTTCTCACCCTCTCTGACGCAACACACACATCGGGGGCTCAGAACGCTCTCTGTGATTTGAGTCTGAATTAGATTATCAAGACTGTAATTTTACGGAGGTACCGACAACTATTTCTCAATGTTACTATGGGGTTAGTTTACTCTGTATGAATTCTTAGTTACTCAGGGACTTATAGATACTTAGCTGTCTGATTAAGAGTGCAGACATGGCACTGTATCAATATCTTTAGAGATTTACTTTTTGTAGCAATATTATATAGTGGTGAATTTGCATTTTGATACACTATTCAGTGGCTACAGTGTCTTAGTTCCTTGAGGGCATGTGCTGATAGTAAGTTTCCCTACAGTGGCAATGTAGTGTTTTTTTTAGCTTCACATCAATTGTCGAGATTTTTCTGTTACTCATTATTGGTATTATTATTTTTATTATTATTTATATAGCGCCAGTGCTGTACAATGGGTGGACGAACAGACACGTAATTGTAACCAGACAAATGGACGCACAGGAACAGAGGGGTTGAGGGTCCTGCTCAATGAGCTTACATGCTAGAGGGAGTGGGGTAAAGTGACACAAAGGGTATACGTAGGGGTAATGAAATATGTTGCTAGAAAAGTATTCACTGAGAACTTAGTAGGTTTTTTTGACAGTTGCAGGAGAGGAGTAATGGGGAGGTGGGGGTAAAAGATCAAAGATTTTTAAAGGAGTGGAGACTGGGTGAAAGTCTGACAGGGAATGGAAGGGTGTTCCACAGAGAGGGTGCAGCCTTGGAGAAGTCTTGGAGGTGAGCATCAGATGTGGGAATATGGACAGAGGATAGGTGTAGGTCTTCGGCAGAGCGCAGGGGCCTCGACGGGACATATTTGTGTATCAGGGAGGATAGTTAGCATAAAGACCATTGACTTTCTAACATCAAAACTACAGTGCATAACTTTTGACTAGCTAACATTGAGACAATTGACACAACAGTAGTCTATGCTTATATAAAAAACTTAAACAGTACCTATGCAAAGTTGAGATGATACATTTGATGTCTGACTAATTTACTGAAAGTCATCTTTTTCTTGTTGCATCTCTGCTTATTTACTTATAACTGGTGTGTGGCTCTTACCTTATCCTCTAAATATGTAAGTAGCCTTTGTCATCTACTCTCAATAAAGACATACATAACCAAATTTACAGCAATGCACTTTTTGGAATCTGTGACTTGTAAGTACAGAAATAGCTTAAACCCCTAGTCACGTGGGGCTTTCAAAAGCAGGAGCCATAGCTAGTGTCCTCCAAAACAACAGGGTATATCAAAGAGGTCATGGCAATGCTAACACTGGTTTAACCCCTTTTAGGAGTTAAAGGTTACATACTTGAAATAAAGGACATAAAAAACCAAGCCCATTCTAGACTGTATTAAACAATGTTTAACAGTGTGTTTGTCTTTTTGTTCCAGGAACATATTTTACATCATCTTTTTGTGATTTCGCAGGTGCATTAACATGCTGTGCCAGGACATTACTTCCTAAATGAATGATGAAAGCGCCGTGATAGTAACTCTCAACTGCCTTTTTGTTTTACAGATACCTCAAAACCCATGAAGGACCTAGAGAAAGAGAATCACCCGTTATCTGAAAGCTTTACAGATGTTTCTGTCTCGGGAACATTCTTAACCTGCAGCCACAGTCACATGTCAGGGTCGGCAGTTGCTAGTTCAACTTTAACACTTAGTCAGACAAAGCCTGAACCAATGACTGTTTTCAATCGAAATCCCACACATCCCTTACTCCACATTAGCACTTTATATGAAGACCTTGAAGATGGAGTTACTAGTGGGATGAGAGACAGGGACCACTCTCCTCCTGACCCTGGTGATATCATAACTGTGATCCCACCAAAAAAAGTAATATTAGCCCCCTTTGAGGAGTCTAGGTCAATGATAAGCTCAGCTGATTATTAACGTCAAATGCTGTGAGACACCACCGTGTTAACCACTGCATGAGCATGGAGAAATTATTATCTCTAAATATGCTAGTGAAAGCTTGTATTCACAACTTTGTCAACACATAAAGAATTACCTAATGGATCATCAGTTTAGGCTGCTATGTAAAGCACAAGCTACTTTAGTTTATAATAGATGAAATCGGCAAAACAAGGAGGGTCGAAAATACTAATACACGTTTCATTGTAGTCAAATAGTGTTCTTTGAAAGAGCCATTGAAGTTTCTTCCTAATTGTTTTTGCTCTCTTGAAAATGTAACTCAAGTACCAGTTTAACAGATACGTAATAGATACTTTCACAAATATCTATCTAAATATATGTCATAGGCACACCCATGATACACACTTATAGAACATTCCTTTTAATGTTATGTTAAAATGTTGAACTTTTCTGATGACTGTTCACAAAGAAAATTATGGCAGCCACCACAAGAGACTGCTTAGCTTCAGGTAAGTAGAACTTACCTTTCCCTGTACCCCACGACCACCACAATTTTAGCAGCAAAATCACCATTGTGGTTTTTTGCAAAGACCCCAGAAGGTAACATAGCTGCTTTAAGAGCAAACAAGGTAATTAGAGGTGATTGCAGATAAATGTATGAATACCTCAGTGCAAAATCTTTCATGCACCTGTAGCGAAGCAGGAAGGTTTTGTAGCACAAATTGTTTATCCTCTATTAGCAAAAAAGTCTGCTGTCTCACAGCTTTAATTGTTATACCGGACAGTGATCATTGACTGTTGACTCTTAATCACCTTTCACAGTGTTTGCAGTTATCTTAGACAAGTAGCACAACCCTTTACACCAGCAATATCTATATTTATCTAGCTGTACCCCCAACCCAAAAGGTGAAGTGTGAATCAGGACTGGCAGCTACCACCAACGGTATTATCACATGGCCAAATATGTTCGTACGTGGGGGCTTTCACACATTACATAAGACTAATATGCAAAAGGCACAAAGTATTGATAACTGGGATCAGGGATGGTATACATGTCCATGAAACACTGTAAAATGGAAATAGCAAAATAAAATCACAAGACCCTGTCCGAGGCATCACTTCATGACATCGAATCTCTCTATGACTGTAACTGAGTGTGGTCCATGTTATTTTTCTACATTCTTATATATCTTAAGTTATTGCTTGTATGTCTGGTATTCTTATCTTACAATAACATGCATTGCCAGACACCATGAAAAGAATTTACCTGGTTGCAATACTGTTCGTACGTCTTGTGGCATTTTTTACACGTTTATCAAGGTGCTCAATGGCTGCATTGAATAGACCATGACTTCACTAACACCATCCAGTACTTGTCATGCAGCAATCTTTTGTTTCATGTTGAAACTGTAGCCACCAGGATTCACCGTTTCAATTATTTCACAATACAGAACATTGTTCTTAAAATAGGCCTATAATATGAAATAGAAATGCTAACTTCATTTCACATTCATAGAACTGGGGTTTTCTCCATACCTGTCATCATGCTGAAAGTGTAGCAACAAGGATTCGTCAGACCAGGCAATGGTTTTCCAGTTCTTTAGTGCCCAGTATTTGTTTTGGCTTCAGCCACATTATGCAATGGTTTAGAAGAAGCCACCATGATAACTAATGGGGATGGCGTTTAAAAAAAACTGCTGTTTCTATTCAGTATTCAACATTCTTTAGTGGGACATTTGGCACCAGTGATGCATTGAACTATTAGCTGACTAATGTTTCAATGTCAGTTGTTGGACAAAATATATGTCTGACTTTGGAAGGATGCTCTTTTTGGTGTGGACCATCGGACACAAACCAATACAAAAATGCACTTTGTTAATCTATCTCATGGAAAAAATAGGTGCTTCTTAGATTTGATAGATATAAAGATAAACAGATATACAGGTATACAGTCATGCTCATTCTCATTATATCTAACTGCATTACCTTGCAGACAAAGTTAAGTCACACATTTGATTTAGTTACATAGTAATATAGGCTGAAATATGACTCAAATTCAGACTTTACAATATCTGTACTACTGCTGATGGCAAAATAAACATTTTAAAGTGATTTACAGTCTCGCCACAACCTTGACTCCAAAGTGATAGTCAAATTTCTCCTTTGATCAGTGTCACGACTACAGTAGGAGAACCTAAAACACACAGACCCTAATCTGCTAAAGGAGAGGTAATGTATTACTGGACATTAGAATGGCTGGATTTAACGTAAAGAGTAGTCAGGAAGAAAGTCAAGGTCAAATGTAGGAGAGTACAGCATAAACGGTAAGACAAGCCAAGGTCAGGAACACAGAAAGTGGAGAAACGATAAGCAAGCCAAAGTCGGTAACAAGAAATCCAAATATAATATAAAGTGCACTCTTGGGTCAACAAGAACCACAACAGAGCAACCAGTAACTGAAAGGGCCTGGCTTATAAAGCCAGGGAACCAATCTTATTGGCCTGCATCATATTAGAGCGCCTATACATCCGAATTCGACCCAAAGCCAAATTCGGGAGTTTCTTTGTGCAAACACATCGGTTCGGCACTTTGAGTCGCATGATTATGTATGTATTACGCAACTCCATACAAATAGATGCGCATGCAGAGCGTGCAGCGTCTGACCCGCCGCCGGATCGGGGAGCTCCGGAACAGGTAAGTATTACAATCAGCAAGCTGTTACATTAACTATTATATCTCTGAATATTCCAGACATTCCAGAAAACTCCATTCAGACATTGTTTAACATTGTACAGATTCTTAGGCAGATAATTCCCCATCTCTATTGTTCTTACTATGAAGAACCATTTCCTCTCCTGTAGGTGAAATCTCCTCTCTTCAAGTCTGTTTCTTATGAGCATCTAATGATTAGTTATGTCCAGTATAAATTAGTTATGTCAGTAGGGTGCTTAAAAGGCTACAAACTCTATTTTCCCTAAGGAGAATCTATCACTATAATAATTTAGCCTTTTCTCTTTCCTATTTTAAATGTATGTATATCGTAATGAGTTTAGACATCTAGCAAATACAATTCACACGTTTATGGATTTGTTTTAGAGAAATTAGGTAAAGCGTCTGAGTATAAGCGTGTTGCTGTATAGCCGTAATGAACACGTAGCAGTTTACATATTTTATGAAATCAAGCAGTATGTTAAGACTGTTGTACATCATGCATATAATTGCCCATATGAAACATGATTTCTCGAGTTTCTGTGCCCAAGGAGGACTTTCCAAAGTCCAACTTGAAATATGCAGGTAATACAGAACAGCAATGTTTCTACATATTTATGTTGTGTTAGTTATAGGTCATACTTTTATTTTTTAAAATCACACTCTTGGTGTGTGTTCATTTAGTAAAATGCCTGCAGACTAAAGGAAAACTTCAAGTACCATAACCACTAGAGTGCACCCATAACTCTCAGCCAATGAGTTAAGCCATGCACCATTGAATTAGCTTAAAGGGACACTATAGTCACCAGTGCAAGTACATGTATTCCTGACCCTATAGTGTTAACACCGCCATCTAGCCCCCCTGGCCCCTCATGCCTCCATAAATATAGTAAAAATCTTACTGTATTCAAGCTTGAAGCTGTAAATCTGCATGCTGTTAGACTCAGGAAAAACAAGCAGTCTGCTGACATGTGATAGCCTGATCCAATCACAGTGCTTCCCCATAGGATTGGCTGAGACTGACAAGGAGGCAGATCAGGGGCAGAGCCAGCATGATTCAAACACAGCCCTGGCCAATCAGCATATCCTCATAGAGATGAATTGAATCAATGAATCTCTTTGAGGAAAGTTCAGTGTCTGCATGCAGTGGGAGGAGATACTGAATCACAGGATGCTCGTGCACAGTGCTGCCCTGTGCTCTGCTGACAGCAGATCTGAGTGGATTGAGGCATATTATGCCTCCATCAACTCCAAAGTCCCTTTGGTTCACTCTGAGTGACTGCAACTGGAGATGTTCCTAGATTTCAATGTAAACACTGTATTTTCTCAGAAAATACAGTGTTTACATGAGAAAGGCTACAGGGAGCTATAGTTCTCACCTGAACAACCTCATTAAGCTGAAGTTGTTCAGGTGACTATAGTGTCCCTTTAAGCAGAGAGCTTCTGGCTGTCAAAGAGGCAGTGACTGTAAGAAGTTAAACATTGGCCAATTATACATGCTGTAGTGGTCATGGTGCTTGTAGAATTCCTTTTAGATAATTGATTGCAATGGTCTGGGCACTATAGTAGTAATGGCTACAATTATTATATGTTCACCATGTGTCTAAAACAAGTGAGATTATATAATATATTTAATATAATATGAAACTTAAAATTATTTAAAATACAACAAATATTTTTGCTAATATTTAGTCCATATATACACATAATTTGAAGTATTTCAAGATACAGGGCATTGTACTTACAATAGATATATATTATAATGCAGAAATGCTAACTTTCATCACATTAATTTCTGCAAAGTGAACATGTCAGTATTGCTGTGCAACCTATGCCAGACTTTTCCAGCAAGAAACAGGTTGTATGTTTGAGTTTTAACATGGACCAATTTAAAAGCACATGTTCAGCAGAATCAAAGAACAAATGTAGAGTTTATTTTTGTATCGTATTTTCTAATGATGATTATAGTTTTTGATTTTAAAATTCATATTTTTCCTTTAGAAGGAATTTATTGGCTTGGCTTATCACAAACTGGCTGCAATGTTTTATGTGCTATGGTAGATTCATTTTGTTACAGTAAACTAGAAAATATATCTAAATCATGAAAGCAATAACTATTACTAGACATTACTATAGGGTTTCTGGATTTTCACTCACAATAGTTGAATGAAAATGCATTTTAGCTTGAATTTATCTTTCTCGGTCTTTATCTAGAATTGTGAAAGTCAAAATATTATTGAACCTATCAAAATAAGAGAAACAAAAAAAATGCAGATATAAGTACTACACAAATATAAATTGCATAGAAAATGCACTAAGACACAGTATAATCCTACATTCCAAAATGATGTAATTTATGTTAAGTGATTCATCAAGACTAGAGAATATCATTGGATTGTTATTCCTATGAAAGTTTAAACTAGACTACTTCTAAGTGTCCCTAAGAAACACAGAAGAAAAAAAAAAAAAAAATCTTATGGCGAATAAATAGCACTATGTGTCAATAAACCGATTTCTCATGTGTTGTTTGTGTTTTATTGCTCAAATTAATTCCATGGAAAAAAATGGGAACAATTGTCCTTCTTATAAGTAAACATATTCACAAACTTTAAAACGATGAGTGTGCATTGGGCAATTTCATTGGTTATCAATACATTCTGTTAGAGGAACTTTCAGGAAATATATTGGTGAGATTTTGATAACCATTAGGTTTTCATTTCTGGAAATTGGGGTGGAAAATCCCCCAAAGGTAATTGCTGCCGTCGTGCAATGTGCCCCCATTAAAAAATACTTTGATTTATTTTTTACCATTCAATGCCTGATGTACTGTAGAATTGAGTTGCAGTGGCGAGACACTATGCTTTCTGACGTCCATCTCTAAATTACAATATCAATGCAGGGATATAAATCAATGTCATAGTTACACTGGCCTTCTGCAAGCAAGCAACACTCAGTGTAGTGGTTATATTACCCAATTCATCTGCACATCATCTTTTCATTTTAGAAGCAGTCTGACAAAGACGTGGATCAGTGCTGCACCCAGTGACCTCCCCCTCGTGTATCCCTCTGATAATGCAGAAGTAATTGTTCATTATTATCAATGTCAGTTTTGTCCAACTTTGACAGCATTGATAGACTGAGAGCATTATTATTACTAACCCCTAGCACTCTCAGTCCCCACGGTCCAGGTTATATGAAACTGACATTCATAACACAGAAGTGTTAATTCAGCATTATCAATGTGGCTAACGAGAGGTGGTCCACCAGTTTTTATCAAACCTCTTCTTAACAGTTTGACATAAATCTCTAGGCAATATAACTAAGGGTTTATGTTTGTGTGTGTTTGATTGCTTGCTTACGTATGTGTCTATGGTATACATAGAATCAATTAACATTTTAGGTGTGCGTGTTTGTGTGAGAGGCTTTTACAAAAGTTAAATACATCACTAACAAACACACCACACACATATGCTCAACGTCCGCACACTACTATTCAACTAGTAGGAATTCTCTTCCATCCAAAATAGAACTACTGGCTAGTTAATTATTCTGTATAGTTACATATAGTTAAGTATTGTGGTCTTACAACATTAAAGGAGGTAATGTGGGCCAAACTTGGATTAGCTGATGCTTGTGACTAGTCACAGGTAGGCGGCTATTTTAGCCTACATTTTGCAAATGTTATTTTTTACACCATGAGTCACTGTTTAGTAAATTAAACTTCAAAAGAACAATGATGTCATTAATATTTCTCACTCTTTTAATTGTATCATAGAATTCATAGAAAAATGACATTTCTGTGCAAACAGAGAATGTGTTACAGACATGCTCCCCCTCTAAACAATAGTCCCATTCTAGAATCCATTATCTCAAGAAATAAATCTGAATTATGTATTTAATTTCCACAAAATATTGATAAAAACAGTATCGCCTTGTGGTAACACTATATAGAAACAAAGATAAAACAACTTCATGAAAATAAATTAAATAATATCATCTTTAGAAAATCAATTCACAGTTAATATATTATACATTATTAGAGAATCGAGACAGTTGAAAGGTATGATAATATAGCCCTGGCCCTAGTTTCTAAAACCTTGGTACGTGTACCGCAGGGGCACACAAAGAGATAGCCAGATGGCTACTTTAGTGACCCTAGATGGCAGCCAGCTGGGGGAGAGTAGAGGCCAGAGGACAAGGGGCTATATTCTTAATGCACTTCCAACACTGAACCCTCGAGCACCCATCGGTGATGCCGGGAGCCACGTTATGACATAATGAAAATTACAACACAGCCTCACACTGGACCTCAGGGGAAGGATCTACACAGGATCCCAAGTAGCCTTGTACTGCAGAGAGCCCAGATGGAATTTTTTTCCTCAAGTAAGTGGGTTAATCTCATAAGAGCAGACATTAGGCTGTTAGTGTAGGACCTGCCAAAGATGGGGTACATTGACGTTGTGGCAGGCTTATGCAATGTATGATCATATAATGTAACTAAACCCCCATTATTTTTGCCTAGATTAGGTGTTTTTAAAAAAACTAATAAAATCTTTCAACATTGAAGTTGCTGTTTAGTGGATAGGTGAGTGCGCTGGATCTTGTGTTTTGTATTATTTGGCCCCCACCAGCACCCCCATTTATGCATGTTTAGGTGAGTGCAGCCAACCCCCCCTTGTTTCATATGTATATATTTGGGAGTCTAGCCAACTCCTTGGTTTTGCACCCCTCCCTGTCACAGGTGCCTCATCCCAGGGCCCTATTTAGCCTTGTACTGCAGAGAGCCCCAGATGGAATTTTTTTCCTCAAGTAAGTGGTTAATCTCATAAGAGCAGACATTAGGCTGTTAGTGTAGGACCTGCCAAAGATGGGGTACATTGACGTTGTGGCAGGCTTATGCAATGTATGATCATATAATGTAACTAAACCCCCATTATTTTTGCCTAGATTAGGTGTTTTTAAAAAAACTAATAAAATCTTTCAACATTGAAGTTGCCGTTTAGTAGATAGGTGAGTGCGCTGGATCTTGTGTAATATATATATAAATTCAAAAATAATAGATTTCAGTATATAGCAATTATTTGTAACGATTGTTACTTATGTGCATTTTTCTACTTAAAACACCAGATAGTAAGTAGGAAATAGCTTCAAAATGGATATTACACCTCATATTTTTAATTAACCCTTTACAACAAGTGACATATCAGAATAATTCATCAGTGCTGGGATGTAATGTCCTGCCCGTTACTTTCAGAGTATATTCCCCATTGCCTGCTGTCTGAAAGCCTATTAGAGCTTGGAAACCCATTAATGAAGGTTCTCTAAGATTCTGTGCAGATACATAATGTCACTGTCACAGTGAATACCTGGTTTCTTGCTATTTATCAGAAACGATATGGAGTTGGTGTATAGAAATCTATTTGTGTAATTGTAAGTTAAGTTGTACTTACCTGATGCTGGCCACCGCAGGTGATGTCATCTTCAATCTTCAGCTCCATGTGCGAGAATTCAACACTCATATCTAGGAGTGATCCCGCTAGACGCTTCCGCTGATATTGTCTCACGACGAGCAAGATAATGCCTTACTCCTGTAGCCATCGCTAGTGACGGCTGTGGAAAGTAACCAAATTTGCTGTACTGTAAGTACTCCTTTTATTCTGATATTCTCAGTTGATGTGCCTGCAGTGGCTCCCCTTTAGCCAGGGATTAAGTGGTTAACTTGGACTGAGGTTTTGTAAAATAGTTTGTACAATAATTATGTAAAACTCTATGCCAGTTCGTGGGAATCACGAACTGGCAACCTAAGATGGCCGCTGAGGATCTTGCGATACCGCGAGATCCAAGATGGCATCCGTTCACGCGCAAATTTTGCTGCACGGCCTGCGATCGCGGCCTGACGGTCCTGGCCGGCACCCCCCTGTGTCCCCCTCCTACCCCCCGAGCTCCTGGAACCCTTAGGGAAGCCTCTTGGTCTTGCGCGATCGCGGTAAAATGCCAACAGACAAGAGGCAGGCTGGAAGTGCAGTCCCAGGGTATAGGGCAAAACCCCACAAGTGGAAAGTTGAAGAAACTGAGGGAGTAGATAGAAGTAGGGTATAGTTAAAGGGGAACACAACAAGTTAAAGGAGGGAATAAGCCAGCATCAATTAAAGAAACAAACAGGATAAAATTGCACACATAATAGAAAACAGTGAGAGCAGAATACTCTGACCTGTGTCTTGGCTGGAAGCAGCAAAGAAAGAGGAAGTCATGTGACAATCAGAGCTTTATATATGGTTATGTACTCTATTATGATTGGTTAAAAGTTTAATGATTGACTTGTGCTTCTGGAGGCATGAGTAAAGAAAGTCATGCAAAATAGGAAGCCTCCTGTCATGTAATAAAATTCAACACTCATATCTAGGGATGATCCCGCTAGACGCTTCTGCTGATATTGTCTCACGACGAGCAAGATAACGCCTTACTCCTGTAGCCATCGCTAGTGACGGCTGTGGAAAGTAACCAAATTTGCTGCAGTAGCTCTGCCTTTTGTCAAGTTTTGTCATCTTGTGACTTAAAGGTCTATTGCCATCAGACTCTCCCCTAGTCTTCAATCCTTTAAGAAGTGCCTTAAAACCCATCTCTTCAGTAAAGCTTATGGCCTCCCAGAGTAACCTCTACCTCACATACCTGTCCCTTGTTCTCTCCTAAAGGGCAGCACTTTACGCTCTCCTCCAGCTCCTCTTCACTCCCACCTTATTTGATTGCGATTTCCTGTCCTATTGTGTTTTACACCCCACCTCCGATAGACTGTAAGCTCGTTTGAGCAGGGTCCTCTTCAACCTATCGTTCCTGTAAGTTTTCTTGTAATTGTCCTATTTATAGTTAAATCCCCCCTCTCATAATACTGTAAAGCGCTACGGAATCTGTTGGCGCTATATAAATGGCGATAATAATAATGATAATTGCAAGCACCGCGACCATTTTAGTGACTTAATTTAGTAACTGGAGTCAATATGTGCAGTGTTTCTGTATAAAATGCTGCACATACGAAGTTTAACCCCTTCGCTAACGGAGGTGTAACTCCTCCCTCGGCAGTGTCTTCTGGGCATCACTCCCCAGCCAGGAATAAGAGTTCTGCACTGGCTAATGAAAATTCTATACAAAACACTTTCATACACAGTGTGTCTGACATTCATTAGCTGGAAGCGGTGAACAGACACTGAGCCAATGAACGCCGACGGGATCGACTTCTGGCTCCTGCAGCTCTGCATAGCAAGTCACCAGAGGGGAGAGAAGTCTCTGAGTCCAGTGGTGACTCAGGTAAGAGGACAAACCGTTACTAAATGGTTTACTTAATTTCACCTGGCATATTCAGGACATCAATACAGTGGTTACACTAATACTTTGTCTTACAATTTTATTTGACTGCATTTTGGAATTT